TTTCTTTCCCAAAAAAATAATAAAAATTATACTGAATGGAATAGTGTATAATGTTAAAATGTTAACATTTTTTATTTCAGATAAATGCTGATCTTTCTATTCATCAAAGAATCCTGAAAAAAGTACTCAGCTGTTTTAAATATTGATTATCAGCAAATCAACATATTAGAATGATTTCTGAAGGATCATGTAACATCAATGTATGGGAAACACTGGTAATGTATATCGAAATATCGGAAATGTGTTTAAAAATCATATCACCGTTATTGAAAAAAATTATACCGTGATACATATTGATATTGAATTATTGTCCAGCCCTACATATTCCTCAGCCAGTAATACTGCAATGAATTTAGTCGCTCAATACTTTTAACTAGTGGGAAGGGAATAGAAACACAGAGATTTAGAGGGGGCACAATGGGAAGAGTGGTTGGTGGGAAAGGCAGCGTGGGCACGATCAAGAACCTGCCGCAGTTCAGCCACTTCCAACAGCTCTTCCTCCTCCTCATCATCCTCACTCACACACTCTGTCCCCTGCACCCACACAGTCACACCAGAGAAAGCAAAAGGGAGTGATCTACTGTTACAAAGCAAATCCCCTAGAGATAAAAAAAGAGACACACACAGAAAGATGGGAAGGGATGTATCATGATAAAGAGAGAGAGAGAGAGAGAAGGCAGAGAGATGGATCTTTAGAGATGGAGAGCGGGCGAGTGTGCAGGGAAAAAATGGGAGGGCGAGCAAGCCAGTGAGCAGGAGAGGGAGGGAGAAAGAGAGAGAGAGAGAGTGGAAAACAGTGTCGCAGTCGCACACGGCTGTGTGTGTGTCTACAGCTAATCATTACCAACAGCTCCTCGATGAGACACTTTCTGATGTGAAATCGGCCAGGCAGATGTTTGGCTGACAGCTGCGTGAGACGCGCTCTGGATTTCAGAGTAATGGACTGATGCGGTCAGCAGTGCAGGTTGTGTCACAGAGCTTTTAAGACAGGTAGAACCCTGACAGATTGGATACTGAAGGCCTTCAGCTGTCTGAAAGCAGGTTTTGTGCTCATTTGATAAATATTTTGCAGCTGTGCTTAATGGGTAAGCTCTGGCATGCATCTCTCCCTCCCTCCCTGTATGTGCCTTCTGTTGTATGTGCATTGATATATTTATTTTTTTTGATAAGGGAAATCATTTTTTCCCCTTTATTTTTAGTTCCTCCAGTTGCGTTCGTGCAGCGGTTGCGTTTGTTTCTTAGCTAGGAGGATGCACTATAGATTATGTAATGCAAAGAGGATTAAAGCTCATATTTTGTTCTTTCTCTCTTTTTTCCCCCCTGTCATCCAGCGAGGACGTGTGCAAACATGGCTTCACGGTCATCGTGGACATGCGTGGCTCCAAATGGGATTCCATCAAGCCTCTGCTGAAGATCCTGCAGGAATCGTTTCCCTGCTGCATCCACGTCGCCCTCATCATCAAACCAGACAACTTCTGGCAAAAACAGAGGACCAACTTTGGCAGCTCCAAGTTTGAGTTTGAGGTATGGTGATCTTTCAGTCTCTTACTTGTAGGGTTGTGTTGAGAGGCGTAGCTGGAGGTGGATGTTGTTGCCGTTAGAGCTCACTGTCCATCACTGCATATTCACATTTTGAGAGAGGGTTTTTTTTGCATGTTTTGATTATTGCATGCTTTAATATACTATAATTAGTGTTGTTCTTTTAACCTGGAAGATGTATATGAGCAGTGTTAAAATCAGTGCTTTTGGTTGTGGTCATGATATTAATTTTGAAAGAATTTAAGGCATTTCAGTGTTTGCAGATTACTAATATTGTAGATTATTCCCGCAGTCCTCTGAAATACCAGGTGAAATGGCTTCTCTGCTGCATTTTTTCGTCGTATTAATTAATAATCTGCGGGTTTGTCTGTGACATCCGATCTGTGTTGGTGTGAGCATGTGAAGGCAGCTCTGGTCGTGTGGGAGTGTGTGGATGTTGATGTTCTGTCGGTGTGTGTGTGGGTTGACTAGATGAATGTAAATGTGGATGCAGCAGAAATGCTTTTTCTGCATATTTCTCTGCATTTGTTATATATTGAGCTGGCTCGATTGCATGGTGTTGGTGCAAGTTGTTTTCACTCACAGAGCCGTCAGAGTGGAAAGCTTTGTTTTTATTTGAGTGCAGTGGTGTTTGTTTTTATTGGAGGAGAAGCTTGTATTTGTGTGTGCGTGCATTCAGTTTGACAGTGAAAAAAAAATGATGGCTCATGTTTCCTATGGCAAATTTCCTATGCAAGAGAATAATGTTTTAGATCAAATGATAATTAGTTTCTCAAACCACCATGAATAAAACATGATTATGCATGTATTTGATAAAGACCAATCAGGATCTGGTATGTTACAGTGACATCATCACCTACAGTCATGTCAGAATTACCGTGTAAACAAAAAAAAAACCTTGAGATTCTGCTCTGAGCTTCACGTCACGTCTTTGGACTCAGAAATTGTGTCTATGGCAACGTTCATAACACCAAAAAGATCAATGTGTGGCTGTGATGTGAATGACAGTAGATTCTTCACTACATCAGTTTTCTCATGTGAAATATTGAAGAAAAAATAAAGGGCACCAGGTAACAGTGTAACAGTATATTTGTAACAGAAATATGAAGAGGTAGCCAAATAAATAGCCTTTTAGGGTTTTACATGACTCCACAGCAGTCAGATGGGAGTAGTCAGAGCTTTCCAGTAAAGGAAAGTAGAATATTTTTGACATTATATGAATTCAAAAAGCCCTGTTCACACTGACAGTGATTTATTCCAGTTCCTATTGCTAGATGGCCTATTGGTATTAATGGGCTACACATATGAAAATATCTATTGCTGGTAAAATGAAGACAGCAGTCAGTTTTCAACAATAATTAAATTTTCTTTCTGCTGGAGAGAATGTTTGTATGTAAACTGCATCATATAATGAACAAGCTCTGCTATCTTCACTCGTACTGGTAGTCGCCGCATCACATTTACATAGAGGTAAACGTTTCTCAGCGATTTTTTTCGATAAAAATGTAAACAAAAATTGCATGAAAAACTGCAATAAAAATTAATCCATATAGATTTTTTTTTAAAATTACAATTAAATGACAAAACCACAGTTACAATTCAAATAAAAACTTAAAATATAAAATAAAAGCTAATTCAAAATATTAATAAATATTATAATAGTATAAATATAATAAATTAATATTATTATTTAATAATTAATATAATAAATAAAACTAAAATAACATTGCATTAGAAAGGCTTAAAGGAAGTGAGATATTCCTATGATTCTGCCTTTTAGATACTTTGGCTAATCACAGGGCAGCATACCGGTGTGTCAGTTGCATATATTCCCCAATTTGCCCTATTTGGCCGCTTTTCTGTGATATTGTGCGTGAATTACAGTGGGAGGATCTAAAGCACTCCCTACCATCTGGTGGTCCATGTAAGTCCAAGCAAGTGTTGAGCAGAACACATGATGAAATGTTTCTGGTGGGCAGGGTCAAGGAATTTGTCATAGGAACGGCTGCAAGCTCTCATCTCGCCCACTGATCATGACATGCCACATTTCTCATAATTACTGAACAAAAAAAGAACAGAAGGCAAAAAAAAAGCAAATGCAGTCCATAACTCACATTATTCTCATTGCAGTTAATGGACAAATGGGCAGCGTGCTCATGTTGATGTGTGTCTGTGAAAGGCTGCAGATGCCTGTATGGCAGCAGGACTTGAATTGATGAATAGTTTTAGACCACATTTACCTTGAATTCACAAAAGAGACCCACACCTCCGCTCTCTCCTCTTTCACGGCTCTGATGAAGCCCACTCGTGCACATTTGTTTTCTTTTTTCTGTCCTCCCATCTATTCATTTGTAGAAAGAATAACACACTATTTTTTAGTCCTCTTAGGGCAGACTAACAAAATGTGTTCAGAAATAAATGAATGGAAGAGTGGAACTTTTCTGACTTCATTTTGTTACTGAGTGAATTGATACACACTTGTGCTCATATCAGTATTGTTAGCTAACTCTGAAATAAAAAATATTGCTGAAATAAAATGTTTAAGTTGAAGTACTAAAATTACAAAAAAAGAAAGAAAAAACTAATAAAATGACAAAAGCACATAAAAATTACTAAAGCTTAAACTAAAATGAAAATGAAAATATAAAAATAAAAGCTAATTCAAAATATTAATAAATAATAGCTATAATAGTATATGCATAATACTCACTCACTTGCGCTTGTTATCCTAACCAGGTGTGAAGTGAAAAGTGACATGCCATAAAAGCTACCTTCTCCATGTTTAATCCATTTTTTGCCTTTTCAGTTATCGATGCAAATACTGAAAAAATGAACAAACAGGCTGATGACAGGACATTTTATAGATTGTTTCTACTGCATTAAATCCCTTTTCTCACAAAGGACGGAAGCAACAATATCATAGTATTCACTTACAGAAACATTTTCTCAGCTGACGAACAATAAAAACATTGACAGCCCTAAAATGAAAATATAAAAATAAAAGCTCATTCAAAATATTAATATATAATAGCTATAATAGTATATGCATAATACTCACTCACTTGCGCCTGTTATCCTAACCAGGTGTGAAGTGAAAAGTGACATGCCATAAAAGCTACCTTCTCCATGTTTAATCCATTTTTTGCCTTTTCAGTTATCGATGCAAATACTGAAAAAATGAACAAACAGGCTGATGACAGGACATTTTATAGATTGTTTCTGCTGCATTAAATCCCTTTTCTCACAAAGGACGGAAGCAACAATATCATAGTATTCACTTACAGAAACATTTTCTCAGCTGACGAACAATAAAAACATTGACAGCCAATCAGAATCCACTCGACTTTAAAGAGCTTGAGCAATTAATGTGGAAGATGATGTAACTGCAGCATGTGCTTATCATAAACAAAACGTTATTGTGCAATGATGTGGACCAACGTGAAATCTCATTGGTCAACACTGATATTAAACATCAGATACGTTCTGATTGGATGTGGATGATTTGCCACAGTTTCACGTTCAGCATGAATTTGTTGCGAGACACTTAATGCATGCTTGGAGCATTGCGTAAGCCAAAGTTGATTATTTTAACACTTTTACAAATTTTGTATACATGCATATACATTTGTATACAGATTTACATACTACCCGAGGCTCCTTCCTGCTTCAGGTGGTTCAGAGCTGGTTTGTGTTACTGCAGTGCTGGTGGTGGTGATATCGCCCTTTCTGACGCTCTCAGGCTTCATGCTGGGAGTCTGTCTGTCTCTAGGTAGTTTGGACCTCAGGCGGTCCCAGAGTGCCTGTATGAAATTAGATTTATGCCCCCGGTTAAAAATAGCAGTCCCGCCTTGCTGGTCATTAACAGAGCCTGGAACGGCTGCATCAATTCACATAGGATTTAGGGCATTGGAAGTCATATTGTGCATTCTAGTACTGTGCATATTGATTCATTTTTATATTCCATCCACATCCTTTCTCTCTACTCTTGCTGTCCTTTTTCTGTTCCTTCCATTCCTCCATCACACCCACCTTCAGACCACCATGGTTTCCCTGGAGGGCTTATCTAAGGTGGTAGACCCATCCCAGTTGACGCCCGACTTTGAGGGCAGCCTGGACTACAACCATGAAGAGTGGATCGAGATCCGCGTGGCCTTCGAAGACTTCATGGGCAATGCTCGGCACCTGCTCGCCCGTCTGGAGGAGATGCAGGAAACGGTCACACGTAAAGACTTCCCACAGGACTTAGAGGGAGCCCGGCGCATGATAGAGGAGCATGCAGCGCTGAAGAAGAGGGTGATGAAGGCTCCCGTGGAGGAGGTGGACAATGAGGGCCAAAGGCTGCTGCAAAGGATTCAAAGCAGCGAGAGCTACGCTAACCGAACTGTGCCAGTGCCGCCAGGGCAGAGGGAAGGGCAGGGACAACCCAACGCTGACACCCAGGGCCTGGTGCCCCGTATTTCAGCCCTGCTGGAGAAACTACACAGCACTAGGCAGAACCTGCACCAGGCCTGGCACATCCGCAAGCTGCAGTTGGATCAGTGTTTCCAACTCAGGCTTTTCGAGCAGGATGCTGAAAAGGTGGGAACCACACATGCTTGCCCAAGAAACATAAAGCAGTTACAGCTTTGCTTGCTAAGTATTATATATTGTATATTGTCAGGTTTCACTGTGTGTGTATTTTTACAGTATTTATGGCATAATGATGAATTCCACCAGAAATATTTTTGACTCATCCCTTGAAAAAAATTTCAAGTGACAGTTAAAAAGGCACTTAAAATGGAAGCAAACAGGGCAAGACAAATACATTTCAAATTCAATCACAGGAATGAAATGGTTGATAAATAACTTGATTGATATTGATATATTAAATGAATTAACCATAATTCATTTTGTGATTCCAGAAGTTTTAAGAAATATGTTCTTATTATTTAATTTCAGATTAAATCTTGACTTTATCTTTCTTGTAGAATTTTAATTCAGATTATCTTAATATATTAACTATTTATTAATTTAAATACTTTTAAGTCATCCTGTGGCCCCCTTGGAAGTTTGTTGAGGTCCCCTTGTGGGCCCCTGTCCCCCTGATTGAGAACGACTGCTCTAAATTGAAGCAAACCCTGCGTTTGCATTCTGAGGCTACGTTTACACAACAACGATGTAGTCAAAAACGGAAAAGTTTTTCCCTTGCATTTTAAAAAAGTTTCACGTATACACGACAATGTTTTCAAAACGATTCGCGTTTACACATATCCGCGAAAATGGCCAAAAACGCTGTATTACGTATGCCCGGCCAGTAGTTGGCGCTGTCACCTTGTTAGTAAACAGTACCTGTTGCCGTGCTGTTGTTTGTAATATTGGTGAAGTAAATCTACACTTTGCTGAAGAAGCGTTAGCATACTCTTAAACAGCAACAACAGTATATATACTCCGCCATTGTTGTGTATGTTTGTTCGCGCTTGCCTTTAAAATCGACACGTACTGCGCATGTCTACATACCTAAACGTACTACGCACACGCATGACGTCACCGTTTTCAAAGATTCCCATTTTGGGTGTTTACACGGAAACGACAACGGTGGCGTTTTCAAAAACTTGCACTTTGAAACCCGTTTTCAAAAATATGCCTTTTCAGTCCCCAAAACGCCATTGTCGTGTAAACGAACAGGCAAAACGCATAAAAAGTTTCCCGTTTTTGGCTGAAAACGTTGTCGTGTAAATGGGCCCTGAATCTGCACACATATTTACAAAAGTTCTCACTAATTCATCTCAGTGTTTCTCATAGTGGGTGGAAGATTTGCATGTTGCTAGGAAACCAGCAGCTTTTCTTTACTCCTGAGAAATGGGTCATTTTTATGATTTTCTATTTTTATCCATTTCAGCTATATGAACACAACAATGCCCATGCTGAAACATGCTCCCAACGGGATGTCTTACATTACAAGCACACACATACATGCACTTAACCTGCTTCCAGTCAAGTGTGTGATTGCTGTCTCTCTGCAGATGTTTGACTGGATCATGCACAACAAAGGGCTGTTTCTGGCTGGATACACTGAGATCGGCAACAACCACCCCCACGCCATGGAGCTGCAGACCCAGCACAACCACTTTGCCATGAACTGCATGGTGAGAAGATTTCAATTGAGCTTTCACAAACGAATAAAAGTGTCACTGTCACTGCATCACTACGTACATCCTGTTTCCTGTAATGCCCCCACAGCATAAACCTAAGCGCACACAGCCGTTTCTTTTACAAACCGGCTAGACTAGGATTTTTCTTCCATTTAAGCTGTGTAATGGTGTAATGGTTTTCATTTTTTCAATGTAAGAGCCGATACTTTATTCAGTGATGGTGACTCATCATATAATCAGAGATGGAGCATAGAGCAAGATCCACCTAAGTGCTTCCTGTTTGGGTGGCTGCCCACCAGCTGTGGGCCCTGTTGGGGCGTCCTTTAAAAAGCTCCATTACTGTAGAGAGAAGTATTGATCACTTCCTGTTTAAAGAGGCAGAAAGAGGATGTAGGCATATTGAGCTCTGATAAGTCTTCAGATGTTGATATAAAAGTTTAATGATAGCATTAATTTACTTTTTATGTTATAAGCCGTTATAAGGTATTTTCCAGAACCATGTGGTTAATGGTTCATCACTGATTTTTTTTCTCCTAATTAAATTACCAAAGTTTGAGGTATGTATGATTTTTTTTTTTATGTTTTTGAAAAGAGACCTATGCTAAAAAGTACAGTTAAACAATAATATCATGAAATATTATTACAGTTATTAATTTCTTCTTTAAAAGAATCTTACGGACCCAAACTTTTGAATGGTAGAGTAGTTCCCGTGTCTCTTTATTGCTAATGATAAGGGCTACTTGAGAGAAAACGGAGACAAGGAATCAGACACTCATTCATTTTCAATGAGCAGTTTTTGAATGTTGTGCCTTTTGTTATTGATCAGAAAGTAATCAGACTTGCACACTACTACTGATCTTCTCCTGATGATTGACTTGCATATTAAACAGAATCTGCTGGGATGTATAATGTTGTCTTCTAATAGCAGTGTTTTGTGAACAGTCTGTTCGAAAGCAGTTATTCAAAATGTGATATTGTGAAAGGACATCAGTTTGAATTAGTGTTGCATTGATAATAAAATTGTGGTTGATACCATGAAGCTGATAATTCGTTTTATGTTATAGTCAACAAAATTCTATACTAGTTGTCTGAATAAAAAATAAATAAAACACTAAAAACCTAATGATTAATCGTTTTGTGTTGGGATTGTGTTTGGTAGTAATTTATTTCCTCTCCCACAGAATGTTTATGTAAACATAAACCGCATCATGTCGGTGGGGAACCGTCTGCTGGAGGCGGGCCACTATGCGTCCCAGCAGATCAAACAGATCTCAGGTCAGCTGGAGCAGGAGTGGAAAGCCTTTGCTGCTGCGCTGGACGAGAGGAGCGCCCTGCTGGAGATGTCTGCTACTTTCCACCAGAAATGCGACCAGGTTAGAGCGAACACTTGCAACATCTTCTCATAATGATAACTGATACCAATGAGGGCTCAGCAGAGAGATCAGTGTATGTGTGACTGATTTTTCCTAATTACTTCTGGAGCGAGAGAAAAGAGGAATGGATTTCACATGCTGTTAAAAGTGAGTGATTATCAGACTTTGGCTTCGATTCATTTAGAATACCAAATAAAGCATCAGCAAGAAATTCAAAGACAAGATAAATTCAGGAAAGCAAATACAAGATCTGTCTTAAGACGTAGTGAACTGCCTTCTAAGTTCGTGAAACCTCATAAGTGGAAACTCGTAAGGCTTTACATAGATGACAGCATCACATGCAAACTTACATAGCACTCTGCACAGCATGTGCAATTGATTTAAATGGAGTTTGACGGTAGCATGTTGCTAAGCTAACAGCACAATACTCTAAGCATAAAATACATAGAATACATAAATATTGAGTGAAACAATTATAGTGAGCATATAATATAATGAAATATAATGAGAGGCTGTTTTTAATAATCAAGCCTTTTATTTGGAATGTCAATATTCACTTGTCTGTGCTGAAAGTGAAATAACATGATATTTGAGAGACTGCAGTAGAGAGGACAGGTGAAGCTTTCTTTCCCTGATAAAATATTCCTCTCACACATGCAGTGTTTTCATTGAGATGCTATATCAACAACAATCTCTCTTCCAGAGATTTCTATTCCTTTAAGCCTCACCACAACTGCCAATCACAAGGCAGTCTGGTTTTGGCTGTCCTCATGCATGAGATTCTGTTTGAGTTGAGGAACCAGACGCTCAACCCCGTTCTGCTCTTCATCTGTGAGGAAGAGTGAGATGAGATGAAAGACGATTTGATTTGAATTGACATTCAGAGTGCGGCATAAGAAGCACGTCTCTCACCATGTCCTGCTTTTGCTCTTATTAGTTTGAACTCATTCCATTTCTTTTGATGTCAGAGCTCTATATGGACATAATATACTGGAATATACAATCAAATATGCACATGTTGTACACCATTGTGATGAGAGTTATGAGATGTTCAATTTAGAACTTGCCTTTATTTTAAAGTGAATTTTTAAAGTACATTCTGTTTTAAGGTCTCGGAATGAATTTTAATGAAGATTTGGGGGGAAATCTTGTTCTGAGGAGAAAATGATGTCAAGAAATCACTTTGTATGTCTAAGTACACTTTAGATGGAAAAAAACAAGCTGTTCAGATCTTCCTCAGAGCTAGTGTTGAACGGTTACATAGCAAAGCTTTGAAAATTAAACCAAATAAGTTGGATTGGGTATTTTTGCAAGTGGATGCTTGATCGTGGATTTGGATGCTCCCATTGGTCAGTACAGAGCTGCTCCAGTCAGGTGCATGTAACTTTATTATTTTACCTTATTTTATATTGTATGTGTGAATTGACAACTGCGACTTCTACTTTCATCCCTCCGCAGTGTTATATTCTGCTAATAGCATGAATATATTCTGCACTAAATAGAATTACATCAAATAAATACCTTATTTACAATAGAATAATATGAGCAATTTTAGTCTTCTTGGCACTTACAGTTCCAGTCCATTACCTTGTGGTTGTTCATTACTGTTTCTGAAGTGTACATTACTGTACATTGCAGCTTTTATTATAAGGGGTTTAAGAGGTGATATTATTGTTATTCTGTTGTAAATGTGTGTGTATCTGTGTCTTTCTACAGTATATGAGTAATGTGGACTCATGGTGTAAAGCATGTGGGGAGGTGGATCTGCCCTCTGAGCTACAGGACCTGGAGGACGCCATCCACCATCACCAAGGCCTGTATGAGCAAATCACCGCTGCCTACTCTGAGGTACTGAGACGTACGTCTCGAAATCACTAAATTGCCAGACACTCTTGAAAAACCGTTTAAGGGAACTGATCGCAAAGTAAATGGCACTAGCACATTATAGCAATTACAGGCACATCTAAAGTGGCAATTTTAGGTTATTATAAAATATAGTGCTATTAAGAGTTGCTATGCATATAACAGGACAATTTCATTTAGTCGAATAGGTTTGTACAATTGTTTTCTCATCGTCCCGCTCGTTTCCAGGTGAGCCAAGACGGAAAAGCCTTATTGGACAAACTTCAGCGCCCCTTGACCCCTGGCAGCGCTGATTCGCTGACGGCTTCTGCCAATTACTCCAAGGCGGTGCACCATGTTTTGGACATTATCCATGAGGTTCTGCATCACCAGAGGCAGCTGGAGAACATCTGGCAGCACCGTAAGGTCCGGCTGCACCAACGTCTGCAGCTGTGTGTATTCCAGCAAGACGTTAAGCAGGTAAAACGTACACACATACATATACATTCACCTGAAAATACCCCACTAGATCCACGTGAGTGCAGGTGTGGTAGTGAGAACTGCACGTGGCATTTCATAACACCCTTGGGGGACAATTTAAAAAGCATCAAGATGATACAATGGGAGGAAATGATATGAGAGGGTACTACAAAAGAAAGGAAGTAGATTCTGCATGAATAGCTGAAAAGACACCATAGGCAACTGAGCCGTGTTACCAAAGTAACTGTCTCTAACATAACATTTCAGTAGTTAATATCAGTGAGATTTCCTGATTTTTGATACTAATTTTCATACATAACAAAACTATTTTTGTCAAACTATTTTCATTATAATGCTTGTAATACTTACAAAGTGATTTTTTACTTTATATTAAAATAAATGAATGATAATGGCATGTATCTTTCAGGTTTTTTAAAAATTAATAAAGATTTCCCATGTAATTATTCAATACATTTTAATAATAATTTAAATCTCATAATAAAAATAAATTCATTTTTGAAAATAAAAATAATATAACAATATAAAATAAAAATAAAATAATTTTTAAGTTATGTAAAAAAAAAAAACTAAAATAAATATCAATAACTAAAAAAAGATAACAAAAGGAAGACTAGTATAGTTGTTTCAATTGACATGGTACTGAAGTACCAGTACTTTTTATATCCCTCAGTGTACTGCAGTGTGCAGACTTTTTCTTTTTTGAGATTTTCAAATTCATACTTCTGGGCAGGCTTTAGTTTAGCATGTAATTACTGTTACCACTGCCTTTAATACAGGAGAGAAAACACCACCGCAAAATCTTGGCTTAAGTTCTCTGGGATTATAATTGTTTACACACAAACAGAAATAGTCATGCGTAATTTAAAGTCAAGGATAAGCTGCTGCCATAACGTTATACTAGGAATCTCTCTCTATTGTACATTGTGTTCAGAGGTTTAGGGCCAGTTTATTGGTGCAGAGATTGTGGTTTTCTGCAGCGAGGTATTCGACCAAGAGAATGCAGAACGGCTAATTCTGTGGCTGAGGGAAAGTGTTGCCATGGAAACCACTATTCGGGTGCTGGGGATGCGAAGAGAGGCAGAGAAGGGAGAGCTAGACTGTGAACGACACCTTTATGCATAATTTTTTCTGTCTTGGACCCTGCAGTATCACCTGTCATGGTACCTTGATTTGACTCCCATTACCGTAAAATCTATCTGACAGGACACATTCTCACCTAGAGAAGGACCGGAAAGCTCTGCTGCGGTTTCACAAATTAATACAAAATTTTCCGCTTGTGTGCATTGTGTGTGTGAGTAGGTTCTTGACTGGATTGAGAACCACGGTGAGGCGTTTCTCAGCAAACACACAGGAGTGGGGAAATCTCTGCATCGCGCTCGAGCCCTGCAGAAACGTCATGAAGACTTTGAGGAAGTTGCTCAGGTTCGCCACTCTAAAATCTCCCCTTCCCTTCAGGTTTTATTTGAGCAGGCTTCTCTGTATTCTTCCATGCATAAATTAAGTCTAAAGCACAACTGATAAGGAATCACTAGACATAAAATAACACACAATGTTTTTCCCAACTACCCATTTTTAAGTTTTTTTTTAGTGCTGGGTAGATTAAAGTAAACTGTAGTATGTCATTGATTACAAATTGAAAATGAAAATTGTAGTTAGTGGTGTAATCTATTACATTACACATTTAATGTAACACATTCTGACTACTTTTTGATGACTCTTCTATTACTTTTTCAAAATGTGTTAATCACAGTTTTGAATAGGAACATTTTGTTGATTATAAAAATATAAGAAAGAAAGAAAATATGTTCTATCCTTTATCATCAACCAGGTTGAGTGCATTAAATGTCAAGGGTTCCCAAACTGGGGTTTGTGAAGGAACTGCAGGGGTTTCGTGAGTTGTTGAAATTAATTAAATTAAATCATAAAAATTTAGCTCAAAGAAAAAAGAAATAGTTTTAATATTAAAATTTTTTTGAACACTAAAAGTAGAAATATTTTGTTTGTGTACCTGCATGTCGATGTGACCATTAACCGACATCAGAAAACTTCAATAACATAAATTATTGAAATATTAAATTAAAATCTCAGGTGAACTTCAGGTCAAAATAATGTATGAATAATTTGTTATAATGTAATACATAAAAAGTAATTGTAACCTTACTTTAAGCATGTTAAAATGTAATATAATCTAATTAAAAGTACATAATTTTTGTGAATCAGTTTAAGTAATCCATATAACATGAAATTAGTATAACAGTTATATAACTGATCACTGCTAGTAGACTAGTCCACGGGTTATTTTTAACCTTATGGAAATTATTTGATTTGATGTGATTATGACTGGTCTTTTGTGGCAGAACGACTAGACTAGTCAACTAGTCAGTGCCTATCATCATAGTCATAGACCATATGTGTCTCCTCTTTATCAGAATACATACACGAATGCTGATAAGCTGCTTGAAGCTGCGGAGCAGTTGGCCCAGACAGGTGAGTGTGACCCAGAGGAGATCTATCAGGCCGCCCATCAGCTGGAGGACCGGATCCAGGACTTTGTAAGGCGTGTGGAGCAGCGAAAAGTCTTGCTAGACATGTCAGTGGCTTTCCACACTCATGTTAAGGAGGTAAGAACTAGGGATAGTTGAGTAGTTTAGTCTAAATTAAAAAATAGTACCTTGAATATTTTTTGCAGTCCAGCAAAAAAAGGGTTGAATCAAAAGACGCAACCTCTCGGGACAGTTTCAGCATATGTTAAACTGTCAGCATGTTAAAATCCTCTCAGGAAAGTTAAATTATTTGTCTTCAAATTCATGTCTTTAAAGCACCTCTGGAGAGCATCTCCCAAACATAACCTCAGTAATAAACTTCAAAACAATTCGCCTGAGGCCTCAGATTGCCTGCTCTGAGCAATGTTGCCGTTTTTATACATAATGGGATGGTTTTTTGGTGACTACTGTGATTTTTGTGCCATAAAATGATTTAAATATTTAGCATTGTTATTTGTTATCTTTTGTGTGCACCATAAGAATGTCAAGTGAACAATAATTGTATGATTCCAGTAGAGTCCAAAACGTGTCAGACTAGTTGGTCATTCAAAGTTGTGAGAGTGTGTAGTTTTACACATTTGCGCAAGAACCGGATACATTAACACTCAATATCAGATCATTAGTAACTAAATTAAATACGAGATGAATGTGCAAATTGCAAAATTATAGAGCTGTAGAGAATTATCTAGAGCTTTCTGTGCAAATTATAAAGTGATTAATGCATGTGTCTATTGCGCATAGCTGTGGACGTGGCTGGAGGAGTTGCAGAAGGAATTGTTGGACGATGTGTATGCCGAGTCGGTGGAGGCCGTTCAGGACCTGATCAAGCGTTTCGGGCAGCAGCAGCAGACCACACTGCAGTTCACCGTAAATGTCATTAAAGAGGGAGAGGATCTCATTCAACAACTCAGGTGCACAATCTTCTCATCTGTCCTTCCCTTTCATGTCTCCTCCTGCATTAAATCCTTTAAATTGCTTTTTTGTTTCGGTGTGTTTGATTCCATTGAAGTGTTGGATTAGTGTGAAAGCCATCTTTTGAAATCTTAGCACATCAAGGAGCCACCTAGGAGTTTTAAGTTTGCAGTCGGAAGCCTAGAGTGAAAGACCGGGTGACAATAAAAGTAATCTTTCTGTTGCGGCATCTTCAGCAGTTCCTCACAAACAATACAACCAGTGTAGCCCCACTTAGAAAAAGATAACTCTTATGAACTAGTTCATTTTAATGAATCAGTCAAAAATGCTCAGAATATCAGTGCTGAGCTTGAATCAGTCAAACAACTCATTTGTTGAATCGTTCAAAGTGATTCTGGGCCATTTTGTTGTGTCCAAATCGATATGAATCAAGAACCATCTTATGTGTTCTTGATGCGCAAAGGACTTTCATTGTAAATATTAAAGATACACATTTGGGACATATTTTTGCTGTAATAAATAATGTTACTTCAGTTTTTAAAAAAAATTACAGCATATTTCCAAAAAGTAGTTTTTTTGTGTATGTTTAGGACGAATTACTCTTTAAGTACTAGAATAATCGTTAATGGAATTGCTAAGTGGAATCGGAATTCTATTCAGCAGTGTTTTTGTACTCGAGCAAACCATTAGTCATTCTCACTTGACCAAACCTTTGGATGGTTCAAGCACACATTTGGTCCCATCCATCCGCTAGCATCCACTTTGCATTTGGAATACTGTACTCTCTTTACATTACTGTAACTTGGTGAGTGACTGTGCATCTGTGCTAGTGTTAACAGTCGGTCACATGTATAATCTGCATGTGGGAAGAAGAACGTGAAGGATGAGATTCAGTAAAGATAGATGCTTCAACAGAAAGTTAAGCAGGAGAAGGAGAAGGAGAGAGCACCAGAGGCTGTTTGGAGTGGAGTCTCTCAGCCCCCACAGGGCAAACTCATCGCTCCGCTTCCAGTCCCTCTCACGTGTTCAGCTCTGCCACATTTCATCAGTACAACTCTGAATCCCTGACTACCAGCACTACTGCAGTGGGCTGCACAGTACTGCAAAATAACAAGATATTCAGGGCTTAAGGAATGGTTTGATGCATCCCAAATGACTTATTTTTATTACATCATAATAGTAATTTTATAATAATGGATTTAGAGTTTTGAGGAAACATTTAATATGTTTGGAGTTTGATTGACATGATCCAGAAAAGAAAAGTGTGGTTTAAACATTGGACACCAAAGAGAAAAGATATTACTAATGCTGTCAATAAAAAAAAATATTATAATAATTATTGCTTATATCAAGTTTAAATTAAATGTTACATTTTATATTTCATTAATTATATCAAATCAAATTTACATTTTATTAAACAATCTATTTTTATAGTATGTATGAAATTATATGAATTACTACATTTTAGTTTCATATAATAACTGGTGCAATCCGTTGATCGTTAAGAAATTAAATCGAATTAAGTCATATGCTGACAAATAAACTTTTTATTTTTAAATATTTATGTAATTAATTGCAATTCTTTCAACTTATCAACATATCACTTAATTAGATTTAATTTCCTTCATTGACATGCACCAGTTATTAGAATAATAATTTATCATTTTTTAAAAATACATATATTTTTTAAATATAAATGTATAAAGTATAATTTATATTGTTCGTTTTATTATATATTTTTATTATAGTATTATGTAATATAATTTAGAATTTAATAGTAATAGTATAATTTATATTATATAAATTATAATTTATATTATTATAATTGCATATAGAACAGAATAAAGTAATATATACAAAATATGATGTTTAACTTTTAATATAAACCTGTAAACATTGATAAGTGGCTAATTGCAATTAATTTGGTATTTGATTAATTTTATATATTATATTTGTTTTATGTTTTATATGAGAAATTATATTATAACATATTGTATATATTCAATTTGTTTTTGTATAATAACTGGTACAGGATTTTTTTTTTTTTTTTTTTTTTTTCTTCCTCCTCCGCTTGCAAATTGGTCTCTATGCATGTGATTTTGAGGATGGCTATCCCTCCATGTGCATTTTCTCTCTCTCTCGCTCTATTATTCTCTCTTCTTCTAGTGTCTTACATAATCCTGCTTTCATAACCGCCCAGTTAATTATGCAGAGGTAATACTTAAACCCCTAGAGCCCAGAGGTACAAACAGAAAGGTCCCAAGCTCACACCAACACACAGAATGCCCACACCGCAGAGACATTATGCACTTACACAAGCTCTCCACAGGAGATATCAGGATCTCAGCATCGCACTCAGTTACTCACATTACAGACGTAAGACTGCCATCATAGTATTTGAGTCTAATCTAATCTCGAGTCGAAACTCTGGTTGTGTTGAGGTTGTGAATCGGTGATGAAAGTGTTGATTATTCTGTTATTCCGTATGAAGTCCTCTCAGTCACGCAAGCCTTGCAGTATGATAAAAGCACATCACCATGGGAACAGACTATCCGCAGCAATCCAGCATTGAAGCATCAATTAAAGCAAGGGCCTTTATTACCCTGATAACTGTGATTTTACTTTATTACGCCATTTGTTTTTAATAAAGTTTAATCAGAGTTAACCCGCTTGTAACCTTTGTGATGGGATGAAAGGACTCTTCCGTCTTTCTTCTATCCCTTACAGACTAATTTGAAACTCTTACTTCCTCGTTTTCTTACCCCACCGCCCACCCTTTTGTACAATTCTTACTAAAGCGCTCCCTGATAATTAACCTTTTTAATGAAAAGAGGATAATATTGCATATTTTACATAATATCTTTCCAATGGGCTTGTAATCCTCTCTCCCATTCGCAGATAATGCTTTTAGGACCATATAATTTCACATTTTTAATGAATTTTTAATCTCATTAGTGCTGACTTTTTGTTTTAATACTTTTAAATTTCAAGCCTGAAGTCACATACTCTTTCAGGCCCTAATATTTGTCAGTTTTCATTCGTTTTAGGTTCAGTATTCTGCTGATCATTTACTTCTATCCCATGGAGGTTAGAGCTGCACAATGAAACAAAAGTTTGATTGATTGCGGATGTGACAGAAAATAAACATTTACAGTAATTTACAATCTATTTGCCATTTGAAAACTTTTTAGTGAGTCAGCAAAACCGATGCATGAAACAGTATTAAACATAAGATTGAATGTTTGTAACAGAAGTTTCTATAGCAACGTTTTCTCTATTCATCTAATATGATTTTATGTACAAAAATAGTCTGAATTGGTAGCTATGAATTTTGGTTGATACTGAACCAAATGAGTTTAGTTTAGATGATAAAATAGCATCTCAAATGGTAAAAATTTGCAGAAGTATTATAGAATCTAATGGATGAAAACTTCTTTTTTAATAAATCAGTCAAACAGATGCATTAATCAGTGTTAATGCTCATGAGGTATAACAACTGAAATCCTGAGTACACTGGAGGTCATTTTTGACCTGTCTGTGCAAACAAAGTACAAATAGAGAAAACAACAAAAATTCCTCAAATTCCGTAAGACTTGGGCTTGAAAATTCCTAACATTCCTTAAATGATACTATTTTTATTACAGCTTTGACTTTCCCAAAGGACATTATTGTAAGAAGTAAACATGTTTCTTCCTGTAGCTCTTGCACACACCAGAACAAATTAACCTTTGCTGTAACAGCTCTTGCACTGTCTTCCTGCAGAGACTCGGCCATCTCCAGCAATAAGACCCCTCACAACAGCTCCATCAACCACATCGAGAGCGTCCTGCAGCAGCTGGATGAGGCTCAGGCTCAGATGGAGGAGCTCTTCCAGGAGAGGAAGATCAAACTGGAGCTTTTCCTTCAGCTCAGGATCTTTGAGAGGGATGCCATTGATGTGCGTTCACTGTATACTTGATCAAATGTCTGTGGGGGACAGTGTGTGTTTTTCATGGAAATAATTCAATGGAAATGTCAATTCTGTCAACTTACAACATATGTCATTCCATATGTTTTTCTTTCGTGGATACTTAAATCCCTATTCATTTTCATTGTAGTACTTTTCTGTTCCACAGAAGAAAAAGTCTTACGGATTTGGAAATAATGAGAGTAAATAATGACAGAATCTTCATTTTGAGTGAACTATTCCTTAAACTAGGGCAGTATCACCATCAGCACACAGTTTGCGACTCACTGATGTTTAATATGATTTACTAGCAATTAATAAGCATAATGATGATCTGCACCCAAACGTGATTACTCCCTCTTTCCTGTTTGCACACTTACAGAAGCACACACTCAGGGAGTTTATAAAGTGATGGAGGAAGTTACACACACATTGCCCTCAACATATAAGAGCAAGTCAGGACAGGTCTTTTTGTTTATTGTCCTGGGTGATCTTGCTGTGTCTGCATTAGTAATAATGACTCTCAGACTGCGCTCATATGTTGTATCTTATTTTCCAGATTATCTCAGATCTCGACTCATGGAACGAGGAGCTGTCACAGCAGATGAATGACTTTGACACAGAAGACCTGACGCTGGCCGAACAGAGACTGCAGCACCACGCTGATAAAGCCCTGACCATGAACAACCTTGCCTTCCATGTCATCCACCAGGGCCAGGAACTGCTGCAGTACGTCAACGAGGTGCAGGCGTCTGGTGAGTCAAACATGCCACTATGGGCTAATAGCTATTTGCACTTCAGGTGCAAATTTGGGGTTGCTACAGTTTTTCTTTGGAGAGAAATTAATACTTTTATACATAACATTTATCGAAAGTGACATTAAAGGCATTTATAATGTTACAAAACATTTTCATTTCATTTCTATTCCTTTGAACTATACATTCATTCAAGAATCCTGAGAAAAATGTTTCACATTTTCCACAAAATATTAATCAGTACAACTGTTTTTAACATTGATATTAATAGGAAATGTTGCTTGAACACCAAATCATTATATTTGAATGATTTCTGAAGGATCATGTGACACTGAAGACTGGACTAATGGCGACTAAAAAAATCAGCTTTACCATCACAGGAATAAATGGCATTTTAAAATATATTAAAATAAAAAAAAGTGATTTTATATTGTAATAATATTTAGCAATATTACTCTTATATAACTTTTTTTTTTTTACTTTTACAATTTTGATCAAATAAATGCAGCCTTCGTGAACAACTTAAATTCTCAATTAGCTGTGAGTTGTTTATGATCATTGTTTTGAACCTACACTCAAAAAGAGTGTAGAAAGAGAGAAAACTGAACTAATATATACCGAAATAATACATATATATATCTGCTGTATACTACCAGTGGTGTACTGTAACGAAGTAATAATACTTCGTTACAGTACTTAAGTATTTTTTGGGAGTATCTATATTTTACTTGAGTTTTTATATTTCAGCCAACTTTTACATTTACTCCTTTACATTTTCTAATTAAAATGTATACTTTTACTCCGATACATTTCCCCGAAGCATATTCGTTACTTACTACAAAATAGTAAGAAGTCAGAAGAACACGGACTGCAGGAAAGCAGGTTTGACGAATCAGTGGTCTGGCGTTTTCAAGTTAGACTCCAAGCCGTGTATGAACATTTTTTATATATATTTATTTGCTTCTTTTCCATTTTGCATTTACTTGTACTTTTACTTTCAATATGTTTAAGATTTAAAAAATACTTTTCATACTTAAGTACAATAAATATCACATACTTTAAGACTTTTACTCACATAAATGATGCTATAGGTCATTCTCAGTGGTCAGTGGCCACAGAGCTGTGAGGCAGTATGCATATGTATTGGGCTATGTACATTTTCCGATTGCAGATATACATGTTGGATTGTAATGTTGCTCTCACCGTCATGGGAAATGACAGTTACGAGTCGGCATCTTCTACAGCACTTCTGTGCTCATTTAACTTCAACTGTCCTTAAACAAGAGTTTTCATTACAGCAGTTTCATGATTGTTATGGAATAACATGAGAGCTGAAAATGTGGTCGTTTCTTCATGGTTTCCAGGTGTCGAGTTGCTGTGTGACCGTGATGTGGACATGGCCACCCGTGTACATGATCTGCTGGAGTTTCTACATGAGAAGCAACAAGAGCTGGACGTGGCCGCAGAGCAGCACCGCAGACACCTGGAGCAGTGTGTGCAACTGCGCCACCTACAGGCAGAAGTCAAACAGGTAATGCACAGGCTGGTTCAGAAAGAAATACTAGCTTATTGCATACTGCTGAGTATATATTTTATACTGCCGACTGTTTTTGAATATGGTATATTACACTGCGCTGATTTGTGTTTGCTAATCTCTTCACTTGTTGCAGGTTCTGGGTTGGATCCGTAATGGCGAGTCAATGCTGAATGCAGGTCTGATTACGGCCAGTTCACTTCAAGAAGCTGAGCAGCTACAGAGAGAGCACGAGCAGTTCCAGCATGCTATCGAGGTTAGTTCTCCTCATATTTAGGTTCAAACCTTTTCATTCTTAATCTTCTTTCACCTCCCATTTTCCTCTTTTTCACCATTTCCTTGCCTGTTTCTTACAATGGACTCATTACTGTAATTGTAATAGCTCAAACCATGATTATTGTCAACATGTATTAACTAACATGCCCCTACATATGCATACAGATGTTTCTTCAACTAAGGGCACTTTTTGACCTGTGGGCTGCAAACATAAACTCAGTTTTCACTCTAATTACTTTAGAATTTGTCCACTAATAATGACCAACAATTTCTTTTTTTCTACACAAACAAATGTCATTACCACCACGTGTCAATATATGTATTATTTACCAGCATTCTTTGGTGTAAATATTTTAAACATTTCTGAAATAAAAGGGCTGACTCCTTTGTATTGCTAAGGCTAATTTAATACCTAGTATTTATACAATTAAATTATATTTTCATTTTTTAAAAATAATTTGACAGAATTGTGGCTTGATTGGAAATGACACGTGATAAAGAGATTCTGTGATATTTTAAGTGATTTTAACTTTTTTCTTTCTTTTTCTTTTTCTTTTCTTTTTTTATCCCCATATCTCATATTTCTCAAGCTTTCACTCACACTGTTGTCTCTTCATAAGTCCACAAACTTTCTTTCTTAGTTATACTACATGTGACTGTACACCACAAATGAGGGACAGATGTAATTTATGTAAAATAAATAAATGGTTTATGTCACACTTTGTTTGGATTGTCATGTTTTTAAACATTTTTACATTTTTTTTTTTGTACTATTTATAATTTCCATAGTTTAAACATTTTAATTTGGGTCTGGAACAATAGTAAAACAAAATCTATACACTATCCTTCAAAAGTTTGGCATCAGTATATGAATATGTTTATGCAACACGGACACATTAAAGTCAATAAAGACTTTTATAATATCACAGAAAATTTCTATTTCAGATAAATGCTTTTGAACTTTCTATTCATCAGAGAATCCTGAAAAAAAAAAGATGTATCATGGTTTCCATAAAAAATATCAAGCAGCTGTTTTCGTCACGTGACACTGAAGACTGGAGTAATGGCTGCTGAAAATCCAGTTTTGCCATCACAGGAATAAATTACATTTTTAACATATATTAAAATAGAAAAATTTTCATTTATTTTTTTATTTTTTTATTTTTTTACAATATAATGTTTTTGCTGTATTTTTTATTAAATAAATGCAGCCTTGGTGAGCATGAGAGTCTTCTTTTGAAAGCATTTTTAAAAATCCTACTGACCCCATGCTATTATAAATAGTAATAATAACTGGCAAGTTTCCAAGAGAGTTTTAATGTGACCTTTACAACGTTAAATATACAACGTTAAATCTTATTTAAGAAAAATCAGCTACTTGAACCTAAAAGTGTAGTAGAAGAAACACATGCACACAGCTACATGAAACCTCATAATGTCTGAACATATTGATTGATGCTTTAGTCGGCCGTTTATCTGCAACTGGAGCTCATGGCTGACCCTGACATGCCCTGAGCTCCTGCACAGACAGCCTGTTTGCTCTCCACTTCCCCCCCTTTAATGAAGAACCAGGATAACATCAGATCCGCTGTCACTGTATCGCTATTGGGAACCTGAAGGCACAAAACTGCCTATCAAAGGAGCATTCTCATTTCCTCCTACCATCAGACTCCCGTTCTTGCCCTTTCTGTTCTGAATACTGAGGGATGCTCTGTTTTTCAAGATAGCATCTGTAAACCACACTTTGGGGACGAATAATGAACTATCAGTCGTATCTCACCGTCTGTTGTCTTAAGCCATCTGACTCCTGCCCCTCTATCTTTCTTTAATCTTCGTCCATTCAGGCCTGCCGTTTCAGTTCTTGTCTTTTTGTGTTTTATCTGACACGTTTTCTCTTCCTCTCAATAGAAAACCCATCAAAGCGCCCTACAGGTCCAGCAGAAAGCCGAGGCCCTGCTGCAGGCTAATCACTACGACATGGACATGATCCGAGACTGCGCCGAGAACGTGGCCTCCCACTGGCAGCAGCTCATGCTGAAGATGGAAGACCGGCTCAAGCTGGTCAACGCATCTGTGGCCTTCTACAAGACCTCCGAACAGGTCTGTAGAAGGGTTTGTGTGACTGATGTCGTGTCACAAGTTGTTGTCACGTCATATCTGTGCATTTAAGCATAGATTGAACATTATTCATTGACCAATCAGCATCCAGGTCTTTTATAATTCATGCTGTAATGAGTTTAAAAGGCCAACAGGCAGTTGAGGGCTCATCTTCCTGTCTATGCTGTAGGTGTGCAGTGTGTTGGAGAGTCTAGAGCAAGAGTACAAGCGTGAGGAGGACTGGTGCGGTGGAGCGGACAAACTTGGGCCCAACTGTGAAACCGACCACGTCACCCCCATGATCAGCAAGCATCTGGAGCAGAAAGAGGCCTTCCTCAAGGTAACTTATCCAAAACCAAAGGGCACATCATTCCTTTGAGTCAGATCGATTCACATTCATTCTGACAGCTCTAACTGAATCATCTAAAGTCAGGCAGTCAGTAAAACATACAGAAGGTATCGAGATACTTAACACGGAGTACAAAAAGCGCTGGATGAAGTAGATATTCACCTACGAACAGAAAGCTACTTTTTCAGAGGTAACTTTGAGAAGATTCGGCTACAGCTGTGTCGTGAATAAGCAGCCATTCACACCAAAAGTGTTTCCGCCCATACGCCCATTTTTCAGGTGTTTTCCTATGTGAACATGCGGTAGATGGACATTCAGCTATTTTGTTGCTCTTTAAAACATTTAAAACGGGTAGTTTGGTCTAAAGAATCTCAAGTCTTACAGCAGTGTGTAATGGTTACATGAAAGCCAGACATACTCTAGCAAAATTAAAACTTCTCTTTTTAACACAAGCATAGATTGAAATTAAGCGTTGTTTTGACAGTGTTTGGTTGATTTCTCTGTTGCATTCTGTGTTTCAGGCATGCACCTTGGCTAGACGGAATGCCGACGTGTTCCTAAAATACATGCACAGAAACAGTGTCAGCATGCCGGGGATGCTGAGTCACGTCAAAGCACCAGAGCAGCAGGTCAAAAGTGAGTTTTGGCCCACCTCTTTGTCAAAACAGTCCAGATAATGACTCAGAAATATTGCATATAGGGTAATATACAGTCTGACTGTGTATTATCCTGCTTATGAAACAGCTATGTACTAAATATATTAATAAATGGACAGGAAATATTGATTTTGTTAACTTATTTTGTGAGAAGTTGGAGGCTGTGAAGTGATGCAAGAGACATCACTGGGATAGCAGTCAATTATACAGTTTACCAGACATTATGCAAAAATATATAAACTGTAGAATACCACAACTGACCATTCAGAATCAAGCATTCCAGAGAGACATATAATAAACACACGGTACCCCCTCATATGTCCCTGTATTTCAAATCCTGTTCCACTTTTCAAACCACAAGGTTACAGATGCTGCCTCTGTGCATGTTTTCCTCTTATTTACCAGTCTTCCCTCTGCTGGCTCTCAGGAGATATGACAAAAACACAGTCTGTCTTCACCATAGGGGTTGAGATCCAATTCTTGTTGATCTTACGTTTTTTTTCTGTGAGCCATCTAAAATAGTTCTGGTCTGCCATCTAATGGCCGAGCAGTGCGCTGCACCCTCACTTGAGTTTTTAGCAGCTGTCCCACTTTGGCCCACTTTAGCCCAGTTTAGAATGTGTGCATTGTGAATGTGGCCCTGTTCTGTTCTGAGTATGCTTACAGTGACTCAGATAAGGAAACCGTAAATGGGTCAGGCCTCCGCCGTTCAGAGAGGGCAGCTTACTGCAAAATGGTGAAAGTATTACTCCACTGGGGATCGTCACTTTACCTTCACACACACACACACACACACACACACAAAACATTGTAAAGTGCATCTGCTTGTATAGCTGTTTTATCTTTAGTGCTGTCAATTTAACATTCATTTAGTCAAATGTATTCATATTTGTTTAATTATGTACATGTAATTATCAAATAATAAAAAGGCATTTAATCATTATAAAAATACTAATAATAATAATGGATTTTCCATAGGACTGTCAAATCGATTAATTGCGATTAATTGCATCCAAAATAAAAGTTTGTGTTTACATAATTTATGTGTGTGTGCTGTGTATATATGTATATATGAATACACACGCATGCATGTATATATTTAAGAAATATATGTGATATAGATTTATATTTCTAATATAAATCATATATAAATATGAAAAAAAAAATATATATATATATATATTTCTTAAATATATACATGCATGTCTGTATTTATATATACATATAAATATATACAATATGCACACATATCATGTAAACACAAACTTTTATTTTGGATGCAATTAATCGCAATTAATCGATTTGACAGCCCAACTTTTCCTACATTAGAAAAATTCAATCATTTATTACCCATTTAATTGAAATTGATTACATTTTAAATTAACATTGATCTAAAAATATTTTAATCATGCATTATTTTATAAAATAATAGTAGATCTATTATTGTTGACATTTTATTGTCATCAGATCAATTCAAGCAATAGCCATTCAAGCTTCAATTAACCATTTAATATTACATTTTATAATTAAATGGGTTAAATTTTATGTAAAAGTATTTTAATAATAGATCAAATAAAATTTAATATAATACAATAATTTTATAATATTTTTATATAATAATTGGAGTCAATATTTTGTTTATTTCTCTAGTTATTTTGTATTGCTTTAAATGCACCGATGGTAGAATAATAATAATAGTATTATAGTTTTTTTCTTACCATCAGTGCAATTTAAGCAATAAACAATATAATTCAAGAAATAAAATTTTTTACAACTCTTTGTGATGTCTATTCAGTGATTTACTCGTCTGCCATAATATTGTTTGAACTATCTTAGTTTGGAGATTTCTCAGAAAGAGGTCAATTCGATTAATCGATTAAATAATCTGCACATCTTGTATCTACTAATTTCTATTGATTGAGAGCACTAGCATGATTTCAGTGGCTTACCCTAGTGGTTAAAGATCTGGGCTGGTGTTTAAATGTTGTGCTTCAGAACTGCGGTGTACATCATGGTTAAGAATGATTATGTGTAATTTTATAGATATCCTGAATGAATTGCTGCAAAGGGAGAATCGGGTCCTGCACTTCTGGACCATGAGGAAGAGAAGGCTGGACCAGTGTCAGCAGTATGTGGTGTTTGAACGCAGTGCCAAACAGGTTTGATGTCTCCCTCTTCCTCCATCTGTTCCTTTGATGTCTGATCAGTCTGATTATTCACTTTTTCTTGGCCCAAGGCTGAGACTGACAGACTCATGACTCACTGCCATGGCTCTAATTAAACCGCACAGAGACATTATAATTAAGTCATTTACCTTTTTTGTGTGAGTGTTTTGATTTGGACATTTGTGCAGTAGAGCCATAGAGTTTGCTTGGAGAATCACATTAATAATTAATATATGGAAAAGGCCTATTGATTAAAATATCACAACCATGCACATTTATATGTTCAGTTGTGTTTTGTTTTTGCATTTAGCTATGTTTTACCTTACTGTCTGCACCACACTATTTTAAAGTGCTTCTTTCTCTCTGTCCAGGCTCTGGAGTGGATCCATGACACCGGTGAGTTCTATCTGTCCACACACATCTCCACTGGCTCCAGCATCCACCACACACAGGAGCTTCTGAAGGAGCACGAAGACTTCCACATCACAGCCAAGGTACAACTGCACCACTGCGGAGACAATCACCTGGGGCCGGTTGCACCAGCTAGACTTAAAAACGCTGGGTGTAAGCCCTACGCTGGGCTTTGCAACGTCCTGCTTTACGATAAATATTTACACCTGTTGCACCAACTGAAACTACGATCAGGCGCAACTACGCCCGGCGTAGACAATGCGCGTCCATGCCGACACATTCTCCCTCAGTTATAGATATAGCTGAGACGTCGTTCATGCCGCAATGGCTACAACTACTAATATAGAACTGAATTGCTCAAGACATAATATGTCTTACAACCGGGTGTACGTCCAGCTGGTGCAACCGGCCCCTGGGCTGCACCTTTTAACTATGCAGTTACCTAAAGCTCTTTCTCTTCCTGTGTCCCCAGCAAACTAAAGAGCGGGTGAAGCTGCTGGTACAGTTAGCGGATGGTTTCTGTGATAAGGGTCACTCCCATGCCGCTGAGATTAAGAAATGGGTCACGGCCGTGGACAAACGCTATCGAGACTTCTCCCTTCGCATGGACAAGTATCGCACGTCTCTAGAGAAAGCCCTCGGCATCTCCACAGACTCAAACAAAGCAGTATGTGTTTTCTTTCTCATAATAGTGTGATATCTGATCATTCTGAGTCTTGACATACAACATTCCAGCATTTCTCATGAGTTCACATGGTTTAGAGTCATAATCTGGACAAAGAGTTTGTGCTTTTGCCAGCAGGCTGTCAGCAGATTATGTAAGATGGCTATTTACAAATTGCATTAGCAGCATCAATCATTTTTACATACTCGTAATATTTCAAGTAAGTCTTCTTCTGGTCAAGTCTTTTCAAAGAATTGTTTTACAAGATTTACAGCTATTAGAATATTCCTGTATGTAATCAGCATATTCAGAATACATTAAAATTTATTTCCTGGTATTCTCTTCTAGAAACACTTGAGGTGCAAGTTTTTACTCTTGTTTTAATTGTAGCTGTACACAATAAATGAATAAACAATTCTCTTTCATGTCCATAACAATGACACAATAAATTACAGATTATTATAGTATTTATTCATATTTTGAATTAGGGTTTATTTTTTTGTTTTCAGTTTAAATTTTAGTTTAAGTATTAGTCATTTTATGTGCTAGTTTTAGACCCAAGTTTTACATCTAGTATTTATTTTATTTTATTTCTGCTATTAGAGTATTTTTGTGCATGTAATAATAATCAGTGGGAATAGTCCTGAAAAAGATAGCAGTCAGAAGACTGTGGGATTAACACGTCGTTCGTTTTTAATTTCCAGAGTAAAGACCTGCAGTTGGACATCATCCCAGCCAGTGCTCCAGGGTCAGAGGTCAAACTCAGAGATGCTGCCCACGAGCTTAACGAAGAGAAGCGCAAGTCTGCCCGCAGGAAGGAGTATGTCTTATTTACTATTACTCATTGACTGAAAGGTCACTGAAATATTCAAATGAATTCTTGGTCTTTTAGACTGAGAAAGATCTACATTTTCTGATATAATGATTTTGTCTTTTCCATTTTTGTAGCTTCATCATGGCTGAGCTGATCCAGACAGAAAAAGCTTATGTACGAGACTTGAGAGAGTGCATGGATGTGAGTATTTTATTGTACTGTATATTATTAATGCGTTTTGGCTCGGTCATTAAAAAAAAAGTTTTTATTTGGATCTTTTGTCCCGAATTATGGAATATTCAAAGCAAATCACGATAAAAACCTCTTACTTCAGACTGTAATGTAAATAAATCTATCAATTTGAATCTTTTCCTCTCATCCAGACATATCTGTGGGAGATGACCAGTGGCGTGGAGGAAATCCCACCAGGGATCGTTAATAAAGAGCATATCATTTTTGGTAACATGCAGGACCTCTACGAGTTCCATCACAAGTGAGTTCATGCAAATGCTTTAAGCCTCGTCCCTTTTTTTAAGAATAAATCCTCCCATCCAACATCCAATGAGTTAGTTTCCTGTTCTCTGTAAGTGGCTAATATATATCGCTCTTTTTTTTTTTTTTGTGCTTCACCAGTATATTCCTCAAAGAGCTGGAGAAGTATGAGCAGCTTCCTGAAGATGTGGGCCACTGTTTTGTGACTTGGGTGAGTAGAGTTAACTGTGTTTGAATACTAATGTTGTATCTGCTTCTTTCAGAATAAGGTTGTTAAAATGCCTCTTTCATCTTTCTGCAGGCCGATAAGTTCCAGATGTATGTGAACTACTGCAAGAACAAACCAGACTCCACTCAACTTATTCTTGAGCATGCTGGAGGATATTTTGACGTGAGTTGAATGTTTCTGTTATGATTAAAGTATTTCATTAATTTTGAAGTTTCATCATGTCTGCCTGTCAGTGGCCAATTTGAAGCTCAATGGTGAAAGTTAGTATATTGATATTGCTGTTACAGGAAATCCAACAGAGGCATCGCCTGGCCAACTCCATCTCATCATACCTCATCAAACCTGTTCAGAGAATAACCAAGTACCAGCTGCTCCTCAAGGTAAAAACATCTTGGATTCATCCTGAAACTTACAGACAGGTTTGTTTGAAAGTTCAGTGATAAGTCGGTTTGCATTTTTAGGAGCTCCTGACTTGTTGCGAGGAAGGCAAAGGTGAAATCAAAGATGGCCTGGAGGTTATGCTCAGTGTTCCCAAGAGAGCCAACGACGCCATGCACTTGAGCATGCTGGAAGGTGAGCGGAAGCACACAGACACACAAAGACACACATGGAGCGGATGAACCGGTTTCTGATGGCAGTGAATGTCTTCAGGATTTGACGAGAACATTGAGTCCCAGGGAGAACTGATCCTGCAGGAGGCGTTCCAGGTGTGGGATCCCAAGACTCTGATCCGTAAAGGACGGGAACGTCACCTGTTCCTCTTTGAGATGTCACTGATCTTCAGCAAGGAGGTTAAAGATTCCAATGGCAGGAGCAAGTACATCTACAAGAGCAAGCTTTTTGTAAGTTCCACAGCTAGGTTAAAAAACTGAAACCTCTTTATATGCAGGAGATCTGATTGTTTTAAATGCTTTGTTCTGACTGCAGACCTCTGAACTGGGTGTTACTGAGCATGTGGAAGGTGATCCATGTAAATTTGCCCTCTGGGTTGGCCGGACCCCAACTTCAGACAACAAGATTGTCCTCAAGGTAACCCTCTCTTTTACTCTCTCTTGCTCTATTGAAAAGCATGGCACTGTTTTGCTCCAGCTTTCTACATTGCATCTCTGTGTAGCTTGTCTCTTTTGCACTTTAACAAAGTATTTGTAAAATCCACATATTCAGTGTGAAGACTCACATTTTTCACTTGTTTTTACAAACTGGGGGATGAAATGTCAGTTGTTTTCTGTAGTAATTGACAGCATGCCTCAGGTGCTGTTGATATGATTTGACATGAAATATTACTTAAAAATAGAACACCTCAGGTTGACCCTAAGGACACTGTTAACAAAAACAAAAATTAATTTGTATCAAACTGGGCCATTGATTATATAGGGAAGATATGAATACTTGCGTCTTTGGTTCTGACTGCATGTTAGGGGAAGTCGTGGCCTAATGGTTAGAGAGTCGGACTCGTAACCCAAAGGTTGCGGGTTCGAGTCTCGTACCGGCAGGGATTGTGGGTGGGGGGAGTGAATCTTTGGTTCTGACTGCATGTTAGGAGAAGTCGGACTCGTAACACAAAGGTTGCGGGTTCGAGTCTCGTACCGGCAGGGATTGTGGGTGGGGGGAGTGAATATACAGTGCTCTCTCCCACCTTCAATACCAACCATGAGGTGCCCTTGAGCAAGGCACCGAAGCCCCAACTGCTCCCCGGGCGCCGCAGCATAAATGGCTGCCCACTGCTCCGGGTGTGTGTTCATAATTCCAAGTATGGGTCACCATACTTGGCCACATGTCACGTCACTTTCACTTTCATAAAGTGCAAGGAAACAAAAACAAAAAAAAAGAATGGTCTCTACTGGTGATACTGGTGATGCATTGTAAGTGGCTTCTGTCTGACAGTAACTGTTAATTGACTGCATGCTGCTTTAAAACCTTTAAAACCATCTGTTCAAAACTTTCTTCAGTGAAATGTGTACAATTACATAGTTATTTACTGTCCGTTTATATATTTTCAGCATCATTACTCCAATCTTCAGTGTCACATGATCTTCAGAAATCATTCTAATATGCTGATTTGCTGCTCAAGAAACATTTATGATTATTATCAATGTTGAAAACAGTTGTGCTGCTGAATATTTTTGTAAAAATGGTGATATATAATAAAAGTTGTTATTTATTATTTTTTTTTTCCAGTTCCACTTTTGCCTATATTTTCTGGCAAGAAATTTCAGCAAAATATTGTAGTTTGACTGGACTCATAATATATAGGCTATATATATTATATTTAATAAACTTTATTTACATTTTTATTTTATTTTAAATATTGTAAATAAAAATACTGTTTGATTGGACTGACAACCTTTGACCATATCATAATGCGATGTGTTTTCTCATGCTTGATGCTTTGGCTTCTTTTTCAAACTACTTTCATTGGCAAAGAAAAAGTCCAAACTAACTGGCCAATTTCATGAAAGTAGTATTTTCAGAGCAGACCCTACCATGGTGTTTGTTAGTTTGTGCAATTCTTTCATCACTCACCCAGCCATCCGGCTCCAGAGTTGGGCACACACATGTCCGTCTCAGCGCTGGGCAGCACAAACCCTACAACGAACACCTCCACCCCGTCAGACATGAGTGCCAGGCCCAACACGAAGAACAGCTGCCACTGGAAGCGTCCGTGTCCACACTCCTGGATGATGAGCTCGTACTGCTGCGCCAGCTCCTCCTCATCCGCCTCTCTCTCCTTCTCCAGCTCTCGCTTGTCCTTCATTCCATCCGTCAACAGCTGGCCAATCGCCACCTGGCCACGCCCATCCGTGGCCCCGCCCCCAGCAGGCACGCCCTGGTACTCGCCCTCGTATATTTCGTCTTCGTCATCGTGGCCCTCGGTGGCGTCGCTGGATCCCTCGTCATCCTCTCGCTGAGCCTGGCCGTCCTGATAATTGTAACAGTCTTCGTCGGCGCCCTCGTTTTCGTCGTTTTCAAAGCGGCTGTAGCTGCGGCCGGAGAATTCGTTCGAAGCACGGTCCACCACTTTGTTGACCTTCTTGCCGGCGTGGCGTTTCGCCTCCTTGGCGATGTCACGAGCGCCTTTAACCAGAGATGTCCTGTCTCTGTACGAGTCCTCCATCTTGGCAGAGTTCAGCTGTTTGGCTGCAGAAGTGGATTCCACCAGTCAGGAATCAAACGTGAGTTTCAGAGGACGAGATCAGTTACTGTGGGTCAGTCGAGTGGTTTGGAGAAAGACAGCAGTGGACAGGAGAGCGTGACGTATGCGGTTCCTTCTGACGGACAGCTTCATTCACTCAGAGGTGAAGGGAACTATGGGGAGAAGAAACAGAGTCATATTTCACGTGGGAAGTCGTGGCCTAATGGTTAGAGAGTCGGACTCGTAACCCAAAGGTTGCGGGTTCGAGTCTCGTACAGGCAAGGATTGTAGGTGGGGGGAGTGAATGTACAGCGCTCTCTCCCACCTTCAATACCACGACTGAGGTGCCCTTGAGCAAGGCACCGAAGCCCCAACTGCTCCCCGGGCGCCGCAGCATAAATGGCTGCCCACTGCTCCGGGTGTGTGTTCACGGTGTGTGTGTGTGTTCACTGCTGTGTGTGTGCACTTTGGATGGGTTAAATGCAGAGCACTAATTCCAAGTATGGGTCACCATACTTGGCCACATGTCACGTCACTTTCACTTTCATAAAGTGCAAGGAAACAAAAACAAAAAAAAAGAATAGTCTCTACTGGTAATGGCTCATGTGCATTGTAAGTGGCTTCTGTCTGACAGTAACTGTTAATTGACTGCATGCTGCTTTAAAACCATAAGGCTACTCTGTTCAAAACTTTCTTCAGTGAAATGTGTACAATTACATAGTTATTTACTGTCCGTTTATATGTGGTTTACTGTGCGTCATAAGAGCCAAAGAAAAATTATCTGCTTAAATCATTCAGTGTCATGTATTTCATGTCAAAAATACACACGCACACCCACCCAAATATGTATTTTATAGTTTATATATACTGTATCTTTTTTTTTGTTGACAATAACAAAATAAAATATATTACAAATATATATGTATGTATATAAAGACTGCAGTTTTATACACTTTAAGAAATAGTTTTAAAATATTTATTGAACACTTAATGATTTGAATTGAATTATTTACATCTTAATGAATTATTTACATCTTCAAATGGCAGTGACTAATGTATAAACCATTTATCACAACACTTTGACAAATTTAGCTCTAAATGATCACAAAATATGTTTATTAATGTTGTCCCTATGTCTTACCGGCCACTGTCTCATGCAGTATGATATATGGCATTTTATAAAGCAGTAAAATCTTGTATATTTCTATATTTCGAATGAAGCTAAGTCAGGGATGCAAACATGGATCCATGGTGAGTATGGCCACACAGATAACTCACCCTTAGTTAACCATTGAACAGAAAATAATTGTGTACTCTTACTCAACATTGTGTATTTCTCTGTGTTTTCTCTTTCCACACACATAAACACAGGCGTCCGGTATTGAGAACAAACAGGACTGGATAAAGCACATCCGTGAAGTGATTCAGGAGCGCACTGTGCATCTGAAGGGGGCTCTGAAGGAGCCCATTCACATCCCCCAACCTTCCACAGCCAAACACAAGGGACGCAGATACACCCCCATTGCAGATGCAGCTTGCATGACAGTGCTTGCATCTTGAGGTACGCGATCTTCTCCAGTTTCAGGGGTTTGGTCATCTGGACTGCAGACGGATTGGGATTTCTCATGGGATGCTTGGCTCTTGCTTTTACCCTTCACTTTTTTTGAGGTTCCACCACCATCGGAAAACTTTGGGACGAGGAATTCAAAGCAGGCTTTATCGAGGTTTTGAAATCCGAGAAATTCGGCGCATCTGTGGATCTCCAGGATGTTTTCTTTCGTGAAGTGAAGTTTTGCAGTGTAGGCAAACTGCAGAAGAGGTTCAAATCCTTCCACCGTGACCTTGGGAGATTAATGATGTAGTCATGATTACTGCATGAATGGATCATTTGCAAATCGCATTAACTGGGTTATTGCTGTCACTTAATTTACTCAATTTAATCTCAATATATAAGGCCTAATTTGACAGCACTGCAATGTAAACAAATTTTAAAGGAACAGTTCACACAATAATGAACACTCTGTCATCATTTACTCGCCCTAAAATTGTTCCAAACCCGTATGAGGTATTTTGATGAACGTTGGTAACCAGACAGTTGCTAGTAGCCATTGACTTCTATGGTATAGAAAAAAAATACCATGGAAGTCATTGACCACCAGCAGCTATTCTAATCAGCATGTGTAACTTTATGCCGTTGCCATAACAATACGTGATAAATAATGTAATAATTTAACAATCATGAATTCACAACACAGTAATTTCTAAACAATAACTAATGCTTTATTATACTCATTATATGCTATTTCTTCTGGGCAGTTTTCACATGAGACAATTTTTCTACATTTAAATGAATGTTTATACATTTTTAAAAATATTTTAGAAAAATTGTTAAGTTTGAACTGGAATATTTTGGCATATTTTTTATCATTTTGCATATTACTCAATAATATTTTTTACTGAACTTTTGTGTCATTTCAGGCATAGTAAATTTGACCAAAATGAATTAATATAATATGGAAAAATAATGACAAAATTTAAAGGAATTTTTGACAAACACTATGACTAAAAGCACGGCACTTTTTCTTTTTCTTTTTTCTTTAGTTGTCAGGTGGTTGTGAGCTCACAGTGGTCATCCATGACTTCATGGCCGGTAACAGTAATGAACTGACAGTGCGAAGGGGACAGACAGTGGAGGTACTAGAAAGGCTCCACGATAAGCCGGACTGGTGCTTGGTGCGGACCATTGACCGTTCCCCTGCCCTGGAGGGCCTGGTGCCCTGCGCCATGCTCTGCATTGCCCACTCCCGCAGCAGCATGGAAATGGAGGGCATCTTTAACCACAAAGGTGGGCAAATTTCTGAAACGCTTTCCAAAAATCATCCCAAGCCTGTGTCCAATAATAATCACAAGTTTCTCTTTCTTTTTCTGTGTTTTTCCAGATGCGCTCTCTGTGTGCAGTAACGATGCCATCTTGTCAGGCTCCTCTGCCACCCTACAACCAGGTCATGTGATGGGCTCCCAGAGTTCCCCTGGGCCCAAACGCACTGGCAATACATTAAGGAAATGGCTGACCAGCCCTGTGAGGCGACTCAGCAGTGGTAAAGCCGACGGCCACGTGAAAAAGCTGGCGCACAAACACAAGAAGAGCCGTGACGTCAGAAAGAGCGCCGACGCAGGCTCACAGAAAGACTCGGACGACAGCGCAGCCACGCCACAGGATGAGACTCTGGAAGAGGTTTGTGCACTTTCTGTTTTTGCTTTCTTGTATATCTTGCTAAATATTATTCATACTTTTTCAAAGCTGTTCTTACTGGTTTTCTAAATATATAGCCTAATTTGTGGTTTTGTCCCTGAACCTCCACAGAGGGTGCGTAACGAGGGTCTAAGCAGCGGGACCCTCTCCAAATCATCATCATCAGGTATGCAGAGCTGTGGAGAGGAAGAGGGAGAGGAAGGAGCTGATACTGTGCCTCTTCCTCCACCCATGGCCATCCAGCAGCACAGCCTCCTCCAGCCGGACGCACAGGATGACAAGGTGAGCCGGCACGACAGAGCAGAGGGGGGCGACAGAGGAGGGGGGTTGGTACGAGTGAGAGTCACTAGTTTAGATTTCCATTTTTTGTTTTTGTTTTTTCTCGCTGCCAACCTTTAAGCCTCAATCCTGTCAGAGACAAAATCCATTAAAATCTTCTGTGTGCCATTGTGTTAAATAATATTTCCTCCTGGGATATGCAATCTTTACTTTCACTTTCAGTTTTCCAGTTCTAGCTCAGTTCCAGTTCATGTGTGACTACAATGCAAGCATCGTGAAACTGTTTTTCTGATCATTTTAAAACCGAAATGGGAATCATATTGATCCCCCATCACTCCTTGCATTAACATGCGTCTTCTGAGATTGGGTAATTTGGAGATTGGATGAAGTCTTGGATGGATTCTGATCACATTTAATAAGGTTGAAATGTGTTTCTTTGCAATTAATCAACAATTTCAGATTATTTATTGAAAATAAAATTAATGGTGGTTCATTAGTTCCATATGTCAACACTACCAGTTCTAAATGAGAAGTTGAAAACAAGCAGTTTTGTCACAATTACATCAGAAATACTTGTAATATCCTAAATTGGAGGAAGTGTTGTGTTGGACAATGGGAGGCCTTAGAGTCAAAAAGGTTGAGAACCACTGGTCTACATCCCATCACGAAATGCATGTTAATGCCAGCCTTAGAGATAGAGAGAGAGATTTTTCTTTAGATAGAATGTAAACATCCTATAGTCTCTTGTAGAATGGCCACAATAGGATGAAAAGCTCGAGTTCTAGCTGGTCTCATCGCTGCTCAAGAACAGCTTGTGACACTAATTTGTTTTTCTCTTTTGTTTTGTTTGGGCTGTATTGTTTGCCATAGCATTACGTTGATTTGTGTCCTGTCTATGTTTTATCTCAGTTCCCATACCTCTCCATCTGACTCCTCCCTTTCTGGCCTCCCTCCTTTCATATCATTTCTCATTGCTTTCTTTTCCCATAACCTCCCTGGCTTATCAAAAGACCCAAGACCCCCTTTCTTTCTACTTTTATTTGCTGTCTTTTTTGTTCTTTTTTCTTTTTTGGTAGAGATTTAGAAGCCGACCACTTCCTGAGAATTCCACTTTGAAGTAGTGTTCTTTTAGAAGCGGATTCCTCACTTTGGTTTGATTCCGTTATTCCACTTTCATCTAGACAAGACCCTTTCTGTTGTTTAAATCTTTCGGATTTAAACGTAGAACCACAAAATGCCCTGTCTCATCCTTTTTCATTTTTTCCCTCTTCTAATTTTTTATTTATTTTACGTTGTTGTTTTATATACATATGAATTGGTCCAACCTTTAATTGATAGTCCTGCTAACGTGCTGGTTTTTGATCGAACTGAGTTCCTCAAACACGTTCAAATACAGCTTCAGAGTATCAGGGCACATGCGCTGTTAGACGTTTGTGTGCAAGTCTGTGCAAATGTCAACTTCAGGGAGCTGTGATTCGGTAGAACCAAGACCCCCTTTCTTTCTACTTTTATTTGCTGTCTTTTTTGTTTTTTCTTTTTTGGTAGAGATTTAGAAGCCAACCACTTCCTGAGAATTCCACTTTGAAGTAGTGTTCTTTTAGAAGCGGATTCCTCACTTTGGTTTGATTCCGTTATTCCACTTTCATCTAGACAAGACCCTTTCTGTTGTTTAAATCTTTCGGATTTAAACGTAGAACCACAAAATGCCCTGTCTCATCCTTTTTCATTTTTTCCCTCTTCTAATTTTTTATTTATTTTACGTTGTTGTTTTATATACATATGAATTGGTCCAACCTTTAATTGATAGTCCTGCTAACGTGCTGGTTTTTGATCGAACTGAGTTCCTCAAACACGTTCAAATACAGCTTCAGAGTATCAGGGCACATGCGCTGTTAGACGTTTGTGTGCAAGTCTGTGCAAATGTCAACTTCAGGGAGCTGTGATTCGGTAGAAAGAGGGTCATGTGCCTTACAATGACTCTGAATCTCAGAGACCACCCTCACTCTTTACCCCTTTAACCAACCCTCCACAGTGAGTGAACATCAAAGATCACACAACAGAACTGGGCGCGCACTCTCTCTCTCTCTCTCGCTCTCTCTCTCTCTCCCTACCGTTAAGAGTATCGGTATCGGTGCATCCCTACAATTTATTAAAATTTTAAAATTTTTTATTGTTGGTATTTATTGTAAATTTTGTGTTCAAATTCTGTTTAATGCTGGCACTGTAATTGAGATCCTTATTGTTTTTGTGGCAGATAAATATTTATCTATTTGCAAAATAATTATTAATTATTTTTACTTAACTTTTTAATTAGTAGAGTAGCTTATATTCAGCTTGTACTATGACAACCTGCAGCTTCAGTGTTGCTTACCCATCATTTTATTTGGCTGGACTGAATTTGATTGTCTCGTGTCCACACAGGCTCTGGAGGACAGACCCAGCTCTTTGTCTATGGAGCAAGGGGACAGCAGCAGCCCCTCTTTCAACCCATCTGATAACTCCCTTCTCTCCTCCTCCTCTCCGATCGATGAGATAGAGGAACGCAAGACCGGCTTTCTCAAGAGACGGCAGTATGTCATCATGCTTTTTTCTCTCTCTCTGTTATTGTCCTCATTCATTGTCAGTGTCTATAACACGTGTCCCCTTTCCCCTTTTAGTTACGTTCTACTGGAACTGATCGAGACAGAGAGGGACTATGTGAGAGATCTCAGTTTGGTCGTGGAGGTAAATGAACACTGTTCACGGGATGCTGAGATACAGGGAGTGATCATGTGACTAGATCTGAAGCGCATAAATGTGTTGTGTGTCTGGTAGGGCTACATGACCAGGATGAGGGAAGATGGAGTTCCAGATGATATGAAAGGAAAAGACAAAATAGTTTTTGGAAACATTCAGCAGATATACGACTGGCACAAAGAGTAAGTATCTAGTCTGTGAAGTATTATATTTTCAGTTATTTTTAAATGATGGACATTGATGGAAAAAAAATTCAGCAATTTTATTACAATTTTACAGAGTTTGAAGAGAGATGAAACTAACTATAATCCTAATTGTTTCAGTTTCTTCCTGGGAGAGCTTGAAAAGTGCCTTGAGGTTCCTGACCGGCTGGGCCCTCTCTTTGTCAAACATGTAAAATTTTAAAGCTTTTTTTAGGCAACCAATCAAACTTTTTTTTCTGTAATATGATATTGTGCATACTTATGAACTCATCATGCCTTTCAGGAGCGAAGACTGCACATGTACATTGTTTACTGTCAGAACAAACCTAAATCTGAGCACATTGTCTCAGAGTATATCGACACCTATTTTGAGGTGCGTAACTGAAGTCTTTAGTCTGATTTGAACATATTTTCTGCCCATTATAAAGTTTGCATTTCCTAATGAAATACATTTTGCATTCATGTTGGTATACCACCAAATTGAAATTACATAGAACATAATGAAACATTTATAATGTGATATTAATTAAATACATTAAGCATTTATATATATAAGCATCAAGGTCCGTTTTTGACCCTCTCTTGTAGGATCTGAAGCAGCATCTGGGTCACAGGCTTCAGATCACTGATCTGCTCATTAAACCTGTGCAGAGAATCATGAAGTACCAACTGCTGCTTAAGGTTTTGTCCATCTGGCCCACTGCATCTCATTGTTTTAGCACTATTGACAGAGATGTTACTCTAATCTTGATTCTGATGTGTCTGTTTTGGTTTATTTATTTCCAGGATTTCCTTAAATTTTCCAAAAAAATCGGAATTGATTCAGTAGAATTGGAGGTTAGATTTTTCTTTGTCATATACTACAATTCAAAAGTTTGGGATCAATAAGATGTTTTTGGCCTGTTGTCATGTGTCTTGCACTCAACAAGTTTGCATTTATTTGATCAAAAATGCCGTACATTCAGTGTCGCATGATCCTTCAGAAATCATTCTAATATGCAGATTTGCAGCTCTGCATATTAGAAACATTTCTTATTATTATCAATGTTGAAAACAGTTTTAGCAGTTATAATGACAGCTTAATATTTTTTTTTCTTTCAGGATTTTTTTTATAGAAAGTTCAAAAGTGGAAATCTTTATCTTTTGTAACATAATAAATATATTTACTGTCACTTTAGATTAAGTTAATATGTCCTTGTCAAATAAAAGTATAAATAAGTGTCTTTAAAAACTTACTGACCCCAAACTTTTGTGTGTGTATATATATACTGTATATACATATATAAGTAGATGTATATTTATATATTGATTGGTTGTCATATGTATTTATACTGATGAAGTTATTGATGTGTTGTAGAGAGCGGTTGAGGTCATGTGCATTGTACCAAAAAGATGCAATGACATGATGAATGTTGGTCGACTCCAGGGATTTGATGTAAGATTGCTGTGACCTTTTTATATGAGTAGATTATTATCAAGAATAATTGAAGTGTTTTACATGTGAATTAATTAATCTGATCGGTCTGTCTGTCCTTCACAGGGAAAGATCATTGCTCAGGGGCGTCTCCTCCTGCAGGACACCTTCATGGTGGCTGAACCGGATGGAGGCCTGCTGAACAGAATGAAGGAGAGAAGAGTCTTCCTCTTTGAACAGATTGTCATCTTCAGTGAACCTTTAGATAAAAAGAGGGGCTTCTCGATGCCTGGCTACCTGTACAAATACAGCATCAAGGTACAGGCGTCCTTGTCTGTCTGTTTGACGATTGGTATCTAATTGTGTCATGTCAGACTCTGTGATAAATATAAGACTGTATAAATTAAAAATATTCTGTTTGTATGTGTGTAGGTGAGCTGTCTGGGGATTGAGGAATGTGTGGATGGAGACCCATGTAAATTCGCACTGACCTCCAGAACATCTAATGGCAGCAAAGAGGCCTTTATTCTGCACTCAAGCCATCCTGGAGTACGACAAGTCTGGATGCTGCAGATCAGTCAAATCCTGGAGAGTCAACGCAATTTCCTCAATGGTACAGTATAGAAGTACTTAGGAGTACTTGGGAGTATACTAAGTACACCTTTAAATCATCCAGGAATCAACTTGAAATGTTAAAAATGTATTTGTCTATATAGAAATGAACATTAACCTAGAATAATAAAGTGTTATATATACATGACAAGTTCATGATGTCTAAATGCTAATGAATTGATCCTCATTGTAAAGTTTTACCAAAATTGCTTACAATATCTTTATGTTGGTTTGCAAATCTTTCCTGTTAAGCCCAAAGTATACTTCGTACTCTTTCTAACGTTTCATCGGTATCTCGTATGGGAACACCCCAGGTGTGACCGATTGTGGAAGCACCAAGGACACCACATCTGCCAATCACGGCAGACCAATCGCTGCAGTGATCAGGGAGTCCCGCCTCCCTGTATATAAACCGCAGCTACCTGCTGTTTCGTCATTCTCATTCTCTTCCCCGTGGAAGATTTCGGAAGCGGTCCTCAGTAGACTTTTGGAATTATTGCTCAACAGTTTACCAACGAATGAGTGACTGCACTTGGAGTTGGATACCTAATGCGTTTTTCAGCTCTAAGTTTCTCAATAGTCTATGTTTTTTCCCAAGTTTTGGTGGTGGTCATCATGCACCAATAAGAGAGCTCACTACTATCAGCACAGCTCCGTACTAGTTTTCACATTGTGGTGGACTTACCGTGCAAAGAGCGTGCAGATGTCTTAATGGCCATCTCGAAAGAGCCAGAAAGCCACAGAGTGAAAGGCCGTCCTCTACATCCTTGCACCTGTGGAGCATGGATTTCTGCCAAGGAGTCTCTGCATCTCCTGCCTGGACGTTAAACATGCTCAGGCAGCACTATCCAATCCCAATGGCTACACTCACTGCTTGATTTTCTCTACTAAAACCCAAGAAAGGAGACTCTGAATGGTAGCCGCAAGAAAGTCGGACCCATGGAGTGTCCGGTTGGTGGTTGTAGGAGAGAGATTGCTGTGGCTGAGCTTGTCTGGACTCTGAGAAAGAGAAAGTGGAGTTTTTGAATGCCCCCCTCAATCCAAAAGCTCTGTTCGGAGAAACTGTTACAGCGATGCAGTAGCAGTGCGATCTACGGAAGAGGCAGGGAGAGGCATTCGATGTTTGTCTCCCCAGAATGCCAGTGGCTCGGCCTTATCATCCGAGCCAGCCAAGTTTCAGACCCATGGGAAAAGGAGGTCAGTCTGAGTATCAGCCTTCCCGTCACGTTCAGCCACAACAACCGTAAAGTGTGGCCGCACAGACGAAACCCGGGTTTGTGAAACCGAAAACAGCAATGAAACATCATTCCGCAAACCCCTAGAGTAGCAAGAAGAGGCGGTCTACCTGAGACATCTACCAGAGTTTCTCTGTCTCATCCCTTCAGAACATTCCACATCTCCCTCCTGCTGAGAAAAGGAGAAGGAATTTAAATACAGAAATTTTTCTTGCAGACTGTTCAGTCAACTGTGTGCAGGAGTGTGGCCCATGTTCCCCAGGTGCCCCCCAAAACATTGTCTCCCCCGCTACCCACGGGGTTTGTTCTGAGGGAGGAAGACCAAAAATTCACAAGCATCCCAACACAAATAAAACGTTCTCTGTTGCATCCAGGCCAAGGGCTAAGGGTGCAGAGTGGGATGAAAAAAGAAAAGAATCACAAACAATCAAACCAAACAAATATGAATATAACTCCCTCACTGGGGCGAAGTTCCCCCCCTTCGCCACTAGCTGCAACACCGATAGTGAGCAAAGAAGGGAAAGGCCCTCTCGCTGCTCAAACAATGAACTGGCGCATATGTGCAGTTCATCCCTGGGTTTTAGCCACTATAGACGAGGGGTTACAGACTCCAGTTCGCTGTAAAACCTCCTGTGTTCAATGGAGTGGTAATGTCTGTGGCCCAGGGAGAGTCAGCTCGGGGTTTGGAGGAAGAAATATCATCTTTACTGAGAAAAAGAGTGATAAGAATAATTCCAACGGAAGAAAGGCAGCAGGGCTCCCGTTATTTTGTGATTCCCAAGAGAGGGGGAGGTCTCCGTCCCATTCTGGATTTACGAGTCCTCAACAAACACCTCAGAAAGTACAAGTTCAAAATGCTTTCACTCAAAACATTGTCTCAAAATATTCTCCAACGGAAGAAAGGCAGCAGGGCTCCCGTTATTTTGTGATTCCCAAGAGAGGGGGAGGTCTCCGTCCCATTCTGGATTTACGAGTCCTCAACAAACACCTCAGAAAGTACAAGTTCAAAATGCTTTCACTCAAAACATTGTCTCAAAATATTAATCAGGGTGACTGGTTCACCTTGGTAGATCTCCAGGATTCATATTTTCACATAGATATCTTTCCTGCACACAGGAAATCTCTGAGATTTGCATATCAGAACACAGCATAGGAGTATGCGAAAATTACCTTCGGCCTTTGTCTAGGTATTCAGCAAATGTGTAGAGGGGGCTCTGACTCTGTTAAGGAATACGGGAGTCAGTCTCATCTTATCTAGACGATATGCTCGTTTGCGCACTGTCCCCACGCCAAGCAGAGCTTGATACAAATACACTGGTGACTCAACTGGAGAGATTATGTTTCAAGATAAACCTGGCAAAGAGCTGTCTGACTCCTTCACAGGAGATAATCTACCTGGGTCTCAGGTTGAATTCAGTGAAGTTTCAAGCTTTCCTATCAGAGGAGCGCATCGAGGCGTTTCACCGCTGCATCTCCCTTTTTCAGCGAGGGAAAACAGTATCTCAGATTGTGCCTCCGGTTACTGGGTCTGATGGCCTCAACACTGTCCCTCTGGGTCTATTGCGAATGCGGGAATTCCAGAACTGGGCAGCATCACAAGGTATCCCCATTAAACCTAATCAAGCCTACATAAGGAGGGTACGAGAACGCGGTCATATAATGATTCTAATAGCACCATACTGGCCGGGGAGACTGTGGGTAGCGGAGATTGCGCAGCTGCTCTACGACCAACCATGGCCACTACCAGCACGCAGGGATCTTCTCTCTCAAAAGCCCCATTTGAGCCCGTTGAGAGCATCTCCTTAAAGCTGCTTTCTTTAAAGACGGCTCTGTTACTGGTTCTTACTACAGCAAAAAGGGTTAGCGAACTGCATTTTTTTATCAGTTCACTCCTCATCTATGATGTTCACTCCAGGTGGTCTAAAAGTAACTTTTAGAACTAACCCGGTGTTTATGCCTAAAGTATTCGATCACGCTGGTTCAGGTCAATCCGTGGATTGGATGGCTTTCCATCCACCACCTTTTTCATGTCCAAAGGAGGAGCAGCTACACTCTTTATGTCCGTTGCGGACTCTACAAATGTATCTACAAAGAACCAGACCACTTCGCAAAAGCAATCAGCTTTTTGTTTCATGGGCCGACTCTTTTAAGGGAAAGCCTGTCTCCTGTCAACGCCTCTTGCACTGGGTTGTAGAGTCAATTGTGTTATGTTATAATAGTGTGAATATAGAGCCCCCATGTAGCTCACTCTACCAGAGGTATAGCTACGTCTTGGGCACTATTTAAGTGCATTTCTATCCAGGAAATTTGTGCTGTGGTTAGCTGGTCTTCCCCACACACTTTTGTGAGATTCTATAGACTGGACGTGACAGAACCTTCACTTGCCCATTCAGTCCTGGGAGAGAGTAGACAAATTGTACATTAAGCTCTTGGGTAGCCCAGTTTATTATAGTGTCGAAATGTTCAGACTATACTTATTTGCGTTAACCACTTGAGTTGGGTCGAAGAGGTTTAATTCAGATCATATTCATCTTTAGTCTGCTTCGTCAGCATATCGGCAATACGGGGGTTGTCTATATCCCATAGTGAGATACCGAACGAATGGTAAAAAGAGAACTTTAGGTTACTAACGCAACCTCAGTTCTCTGATAACATGAAGTGAGGTAACTCACAGTGTTGCCCTCCTTGCCTGTTCCACACGGAGAAGAGATATGCGGAGAATGACAAAATGGCAAGTAGCTGCAGTTTATGTACAGGGAGGCGGGACTCCCTGATCGCTGCAGCGATTGGTCTGTCATGATTGGCAGACGTTGTGTCATTGGTGCTTTTGCAATCGGTCATGCCTAGGGCATTCCCATAGTGAGATACCTCACTTCATGTTACTTTAGTAACCTAAAGTTTTTGTACACGTACACTAGCATATGCGTACGGTCGACACTTGTGCGCTAGAAAAACCCGACACAAGAAGGCGGTCGGCACATGTGCTCTAGAAAGCTTCACCTTTGTCCAGCGTCTGTTTTTCTCCAGAAATTATGACTGATAAAAATGTATTTGTACTCTTTTAACCTAAAGTTGCGGCTCTCTAATTACCCCCTCATACAAGCGCTTGTGTTCAGCCGTCTGTGGTTGTTGCAGTCTCCGCTATTTTGTTGTTGTTCCGTCTCTTTAGTTTCGTTTTCTGCCAGCTTGTGGAACAACTGATTTGTGCAAAACCAAGTCAATGCACATGTGCGACCTGCGCGTACAAAGTAAAAAAAAAAGCGAAGTATACTTTGGCCTTTACACCCTTCTAAAATCTGGATAATCTGAGGTGTTATACTCATGTGCGAATCATTCTCCTCACTAGATGTCTTTCTCCTGTAGCACTTAAATCTCCCATAGACTACCAGAGGAACCATGTCGAGGGGCCTGGTATCTCAGGCAACAGCGTACAGGCTGGAAGTAGTGGGGGTCAGGTTATGGCCCCCGGAGGAGGTGGAGGGGCCCCGGCTGGGTCGGGTTCCCGCTCCCGTCCCTCCCGCATCCCCCAACCCTCGCGCTTGCCTCAGCCATTCCGTCATCACTCTCCTGCGCTGGGGCCCGGAGCCCACGAGCCTGACGGCCTCGACAAAATATCAGGTATGTCCCCAAGACCTCTCTCCAGGGGTCCCTCACCCTCTTGCACCACAGAGCCTGATCCAAAGGTGAAGGTTCCTGCAAGCCCTCACCCCAAACAGACAGACTCTACAGAAAGCACTTCCAAAGATAGCAGGGATGGAGCCGGCACGGTCCAAATCCCTCGAGCCACTGTGGCCCCGCTAGCACTGGTCAAACCCAGACCTGGAACGGTCTCGCCCATGGCCTCCCCATTAGCCACACCAGCTTTCAAAGACTCCATCCCACCCTGCAGTCCTGGGCCAAAGACGGGCGGCAGCTCTACCTCGTTCTGGAGCTCCGTTCCTGCATCCCCTGCCAGCAGGCCTGGTTCCTTTACTTTCCCCGGGGAAGCATGTGACACACTGGGACGGCAAAATCCGAACCAAAGTCACCGGCATTCCACCCACAGTAAGGACGCAGACCGCATGAGTACCTGCTCTTCTGCAAGTGAACAATCTGTCCAGTCCACTCAGAGCAACGGGGTAAGAGACACATTTCTGCCCCGGTCAACCGCAGTGCTTCAACTCAACTCTGCTCCTGTCTTCCCTCATGAATGACTTTCTAACCTGCCTGGATTCTGTCTGATTTCTGCCTCTCCTAACCTGGTTTCTACTCTGTGGACTTCCAACAGATCCTTTGCTCTGCATCTCAGAATTCTAACAAAGTTCTGCTTCTGTCCAGATACTAACTATGTTTATGGAGTTGTAAAACAAGAACCAGGTTTTCCCTTCCTTAAAAAAAGCTCATAACTTCAAGCTTTCTTTGTGGTGTGTACAATAGAATCAGCTTTTCCTAAGGACTAAAAGTGTGGTCACATTTACTATTGTTTTATGAATTTTCTTGGGTGAAATACAGTAATTTCAATAGGAAACAATACGAGTGGGAATTTCGCATCAGGGCGAAAGATTTCTGCACACAGATTTCTTAATGGGTTCAAATTAGTTGCATGGATTTGCTTCATTGACCAAAAGAACGCTGCTTGATTTGAAAGTCACTTCTGTGTGAGCTTTGTTTCATAAATCACTACACTATTGACAATAGACATTGGGCCTTTTTTGACCACAAAATTTTGCTAATCTGACCGCATCTTAACACTGTTAATTATTACAAAACTAATGCAAGAAATATCTGTGGATGTTTTGATTCTGTCTATCATGTGACCTAGTTCTGAATTTTAGATCTATTTAGCAGGCTACTGTAACTACCTTGGGTTCTTGTCTAACTTTCTTTTCTGTTTCTTTTCTTTTCCTTGACTATTCATGTTTATTAATGCATGTTTTCAATGCAGTGCACTTGCAGGGTTAATCAAAAGTTGTAAATATTGAGCATAGGAGTTATTATGGAATGTTTTGTCATCATCTAATACCAAAAATGAAATTCAAAACATACATTTATTATGAATTTACTAGCCCTCATGTTCTGTTGAGGGTCTGAGAGATCTCAAGACTCTCTTTTGTTACCATTGAAGTATCAAGATGATACGTTTCCTAATCTAATGAAAACTGATTTCAACTTGATAAAATGCTTCAAATGTCCTCCATAATAACTATTGCAATATGTCTAGGGGAGAGACCCAAAACATATAAACATTTATTAAACAATTAATTAAATAAAAGATGAAAATAAGAAATTTCACTTCATCATTTTCTGATTGTTTAATTTTACAATAAATTATTGCTACTATTCAGTAAACTTCAGTAATGCTAACATATTCTGGGTTTTGAGTAGGTCAGTGGAACATATTACAAGAACTTTTAAGGGGAAAAAAGAATCGATTTTCGAGCTTATTTTTTAACACATTTAAATGGAACATGAGGGTTGATAGATAAATGTGAAAATACTGTAATTTACCCCCAGGTAAACCTACAGTGTTATACACTACAGGCATTTGTGTTAAAGCTATAAAATCTCTCAGATACTAAGACCTGTATGTGTGTCTGTTTGTCCACAGAGTGAAAGCAGCAGCAGCAGTAATATCTCCACCATGTTGGTGACTCAGGACTATGTGGCTCTGAAAGAGGATGAGATAAATGTAGGTCAGGGGGAGGTGGTGCAGATCCTGGCCTCCAATCAGCAGAACATGTTCTTGGTGTTTCGTGCCGCTACCGACCAATGCCCAGCCGCCGAGGGCTGGATCCCTGGATACGTGCTGGGCCACACCTCCGCCATTATCCCTGATGTACCAGAGGGGACCATTAAGTAAGAGCTCGCCTCTAACCATTTACATAACACATTCTGCAATAAAATCAAACCCATTTTTGTTACAGACCTCTAGTGGTTATCATCTGTTCTTTATGTTGGGCATTCAACGTGTTTTAATCATTATTTTTAACATAATGGGTTGCTTTCCAGCAGGAAATCATCATCATGGCATACATCCCTCCGTATTCGTAAGAAGTCAGAGAAAAGAGAGAAGGAAAATAAAAAGGAGGCCAAGCTTGAAAATGGATACAGGAAATCCAGAGAGGGACTAACCAACAAGGTCTCTGTAAAGGTAACACTAATGAAAACACAAACAAATCTGTCTCTAATGTTATTTTCTAGAAAAATCCCTCAGAAAAAATGTATGCTCAAAACTTTGTTTTCCATTTTGCAGCTTCTAAATCCCGATTATATCTATGATGGTAAGTTCAAAATGTTTAAGTGCATCATTCAGTTTGTTTAGAATTATAAAGAAGTCATAAACATCTTAATAAGGGGTTGATGTAAATGTTTTTCCTCCAGTTCCCCCGGAGATCCTCATCCCGCTGAGTGATGTGACCTGTGATAAAGGGGAGTGTGTCACTCTGAGGTGTAAAGTGTGTGGCCGCCCCAAAGCCACAGTCACATGGAAGGGACCCGATCAGAAAATACTCACCAACAACGGCCACTTTAGCGTAGCTTACAGGTGTGAACAAACAGATATATATGTTTATATATATATATATATATGTATGTATATATATATATATTTTTTTTTGTCTTGCAGCTTTGGCATTGTACATACAATATATTATGTTTTTATTTTGTTAATATAAGTTTATGTATTGCTTATTGTGTATTGCTTTTTTAGATTTGTTTAAATTAGGGGGAAAATGCTAATAAGAAAAATAAAGATATTAGATTTTTTTTTGTAGTTATTAAACTCAGTTTTTGCTAATGTAATGGTTTTGTTTTCTGCATAAATCATAATTTATTTCCACTGCATCACAGTGAGACTGGCGAGGCCACTCTGCGTATCGTAGGTGTGACCTCAGAGGATGATGGCATGTACACCTGCATTGCAACGAATGACATTGGCAGTGTGACATCATCAGCCAGTCTCAGAGTTTTGGGTAAGATGTGATCCCATTCAAATTGGCAATGCAAACAGTCCACCTGGTGTTTCAAAGAGTATTTGAGCAAGGCTTTGAACTTAACTGAACTGTCTTTCACAGGAACTACTAGTGATGGAATCCGGGTCATGTGGAAAGACAACTTTGAGTCCTTCTACAGTGAGGTAGCAGAGCTGGGCAGGTGAGACGATGGGAATTTATGCACATAATTTTGATATCATATGGATTCCCTTATAAAACCGAGGCAGCATTTCAATTGTGTTGATGTTGTTTCTCTCTCTTAGGGGAAGGTTCTCTGTAGTAAAACGCTGTGACCAGAGGGGATCAAAGCGCACCGTAGCAGTCAAGTTTGTGAATAAGAAACTCGTGAAACGAGACCAGGTCACCCACGAGTTTAGCGTCCTACAGAGACTCCAGCACCCTCACCTAGTCAGACTACTGGACACCTTTGAGACCTCCAGCAGCTATGCACTGGTCCTTGAGATGTGAGAGCTCACACACGCACACACACTTTAATATCAAATAGACTGTTTCACACATGTTCATGACCACGTGTATTGTGTGACTGCACAGGTCTGATCAGGGCCGTCTACTGGACTACATTGTGAGCTGGGGGAACCTCACTGAGGAAAAAGTGGCCTTTTACCTCCGAGACATTTTAGAAGCTTTGCAATACCTGCACAACTGCAGAATAGTTCATCTGGATTTAAAGGTCAGTGTTATTTTTTTATGCTATTGTCAATATGTCAATATTATATATTAGGGATCTGGCCGATCAAGTAATTTTTTAACTGATCGTATCAGTTCTCCTCAGCACGATTCTTTTTTTATGTCAGCTGTCATGCTGGTGTCATGAAGTAGGTGGCAGTATGAACTATTAAACCATTAAAGGCAAACGTGCGTGCCGTGCGGGAACCAGGGAGGTCCAGTGTTTCCCACAGACTTTGTGGCCGCATATATATGCAAATCCATTCTCTGCCTCTGTGAGGTTTCCCCGGTAACGGCTGTACACAAAGCAGCGCTCTGCTCACAAACGCTGTTTTATCAGACATTACATGCAAGATAAAATGAAAATGACATCTAAAATTTTCTGAAGACAGTCGGATTCCTTCAGAAATACAGTGATATAAAAACACCTGCACTGGGTTTCGATTTTGAAACGTGCAGTGCTCATGTTTATTCAACGAAGTCGAAGCCTTTTGGAAAGTCTATTTGTGGTGGTCAGTTTTGATATTGTGGCGGGCCGCCACAAATAAATCAATGTATGGGAAACACTGGAGGTCTGTTCTAGTGCCTCTCACACTTACGAGCTTTTGTGTTCAGTGTATTTGATGCACACTTTTGTAACGATCACTCATTAATTTATCCTTTATTTTTATCTGCCGTCAGACTATCTGAGAATTCATAGTTATAACTTGCTTCGGATTTGACTGATAGACTGACACCGCGAGCTTCATGCTTTCTAACCATATCTCCACATTTTTCCCTTTATGTTGCAATTAGTCTGCTTACAGATATAATTATTCTGCATACACATAAAATACAAGACGTTTATATCAGTAGTCCCATATTCATAATTGTGACCACATTTCCAATGTCTACCATTGTAACATGTTTACATCTACAGTGTGTGCGTCTTTATACAGTGTGTGTATATATATATATATATATATATATATACTGTATATACATAGAGAGATTGTATCTTATTACAGGGCTCGACATTAACGCTTGTCCGCTTGTCCGGGGCAAGTGGATTTTGTGAAGGGGCAAGTGAAAGAGAATTTTACTTGCCCGACTGGACAAGTAACCTGATTAAAATTTTAATAACAAACAATAACTAAGGCAGCACCGAAACTTTGGCAAGAATGATTCTGA